ATTTTGAACCCTGAATAGGCCTTTGTCTCCACTTTCGTCGAAAAAAGAAATGCGTACGTTATCGAGTTATCCCCGGTTACTATGGAAATGACTCTTTAAAAAATTAAGAAGCAAATAGTGTTGTTTATCCATTGTTTTTTACGTGATTCAATTTTTAACGCGGTGGCGGTTTTGCTTCGTCTTGGGCAGTTGAAACTGCAACGGCGCTAAGTGACAACATTCTTCTGGACTGTGTTAAAACTACTTTCTAATTTATGGGTATTTCTCTAATGCCGCTCACTAATTTTTGGGCATCTTTTCGAATTTTAATTGCACAGTGCAATTGGCAGACTTCCGCATGCGCAATTTTTATTTTTGCATTTTTGTGCACTGCGCGACGTTTTTGACTCAATTTTCTCTCATCTTTGTGGGATTTTTCAAATTTCCATTTTTTTGCACAGTACAGTTTATTGTGTACTGTGCAAAATGTTTTTGATTTTTATTTTTTTTTGCCTTTCCAATTCCCCCATCGCATTTGAACACTGCGACTACTCACGGTGTCGCTTTTTCAATTCGCAGTATACAAATCGCTTTGGTTGTGCACATTGCTGTTTTGCACCTGCGTATAAAATCAAAGGTAGCTTTTTCGCTCTAACAATAGGCGCTAAGCTAGCTCAACAAAACGACTTGAATTTCATGTCTCTCAAAACACTACAAGAACTGTTGTTTATCAAAAAAGTGTAAATATGGAAGGAAACAGGTATTTATAGCAAGCCAGTTTCTGAATTTTTCCCGTTTCTCGATTCACATCAAGAATTCACAATTCTAAGAAGGGAAAAGCAAATAAATCTTTTGCGTACACAGAGCAGTTTGGCCCGAGTTTTTCGGCATTCGGCACGTAAATTGGCTGTAAAACAAAGGACTGTTGTTCAGGATGGCCTGTTCTGGGAAAAATTAAAGCTTAACGAGATAGCATTTGTTTAAGGCGAGGCTCCATAATGCGCCAAATGTGATCGTTGTCGCGGTGAGATGCGCTGCTATTGGGCGTTAGCATTTGAACAAAACATTTGTAACGTTTTTTAAACATTTCCCGCGCGCCTCAGCGAAAAACAATCAAATCACTAGACGCAGCGTTTTGGTAAAACACATAGGTTAATTTTGTTTAAAGTTACATAAATATTAAACTAAGACGTCGGAAAAAAATGCTAAAATCAGGAAAAAAACTTTCCTGACTTTAGCATGCTTTTTTTCCATTTTTTTTTTGTTTTGTAAAACTAATTTTTTGATAGACCTTTTAAAAGTTGTGATCCAATATTTTCCCTCTGAAAAGTTCATTCCGGCCGATTTTTTGTCCGTTTATATTGCGATTGTGAAATCAAAATCTATATTCAAACTTCCTCGAAAGTGCAGACGCTTATAACGCTCGCTCTTGCCTTTTTTCTCCTTTTTGGAGTCAGTAAAAACAATCTTTTTCAGACTTTTTTCGCTCCGCACAAAAAAACGACGAAATGAGGGCGACATCAGACATTGTTTTTTGGGTAGACGTCTGTTTTTTGATTCTCATTTTTTGTAGTCATTCGTGTATTCAGTTGTTAAAACTTTAGAATTTCCCTTGAGGTTTCAATGTTTGGTATTTAGGTAACGTCAATTGTAGTATGCTCGCTTTATTGCTGTAACTGAAAGCCACTTTGCGGTGTGAAGCAATTAAAAATTTTGCTGCGCCATTTTTGGTTTACAGAGAAAATACTTTAAAAAGTTTTTAGAGCAAGATTTCTAGTTTACAACGGGCAAAACCAAGCGAGATTTTTTCAAAAACAATTATTAGTTTTTTCACAAAAAAAAATCATTTTTTCGCGCGTAATTTGCAAAATTATGACAAGAAATCCTTTTTTATCACCATCCCGCATTTTTTCTATTGTCTAATATAGTTGAATATCAAGCTGTCATAGAAATTGTGAGCGTAATGCCGCATTGAAAGCAGCGTCGCTGAAGTGAAAAATGAATTATGGCGCAGCGAAATCATCGACTGCGCCGACGCGACATATTATTTCCCTCACAGACTGGTATCTCGGCTTCTAAATTAGTTCAAAGCGGAAGCTAGGATATTCAGTAATTGATACTAGAGCGCAATGAAATTGCATAATGCCCTTTCGTTTTGCGCCCAGCCGACTTTTTGCGCGTAACCTTTTCGCGAAGCACGGCACAAAGACATGCCAAAACTTTTCGGCCACCCTGCTACACAGTATGTCTCCCTAGTACAGAAATTTAAAGAAACGCTGAACAATTTGCTTCCTCTTTTGATGTTGTGTCCCGTTGACAATTTTGCTTTTTGTCGTATCGCTCCGCGATTGCTATCACACACTGTCTCACCTCCGCGCTCCACATCCTCTGTTGTTTCCCCCAATTTCGCCTTGCGCAGTGTAGATTGTATCTCTATGCACCGCATGTCAATCGGAGCCCACTTTTCGCGCACAGTGCGCTAAACTACCAGGTTTGTCGAGTTTGTAGGTTCAAAGAGACCAAATTTTTTTTGCAACTCAAGGGCTCGCCGACTAACCTCTGATCTTTAAAAGAAAATTGATTTCGATCTTTTTTCGGGGAGTTTTGGTTTCCCCGAAACTTGGGGAATTTCCCTCGCAAAGTGCAAACACACCCGGCGAGGTCAAAGGGATCGGGATCGAATGCATGGTTTTTTGCTCTGTGACATGTAAGTCGTGCGAATATAGGTTAATTACTGTGAAATCAGTTAAAAGGATTTTAAATTATTTTGTTTTGTATTTTAGAGTTTTTTTTTATTTTCTTTTGAATTTTGTCTCTCGGTTTTCGGTGCGAGTCTAAAAATTGAGCGCTTATTTTAGCTAGAGGATATGGAAGATGACGAGAGACGGTGAGGGAAGGTGTCTTTTTCCGCTACATTTTTTCTAGGAAATTCATTTTTTTGCGGAAGAAATTTTCTTGCCTGCACCGCTTTTTTCAATTTTCAAATTGAAAACAAAACAATTTTTTGAATGTGATCCTGTTGATTTTTTCACCGTGCAAGCTCAGTCATAATCTGAAATTTTTTGCCCTTTTTGCAATTAATACATATTTTTCCATCGAAAGTAAAAATGTTACTTATCACGTCCCGAATGTTTAATCATCGTTCTTTGTCTTTGTACTTTAAACTAAGTACATGCTTTTGATACTTTTCTAACCCTCTTTTACATTTTCCCAAAAAGCTCCGCCCTTAGGTTCAAAGAACGCTGAGGTTGTTGTTGGTTCTTGAACGAGTGTTTTGTCGTGCGTGTAGACGGTCTTGGCCCATTTTCAACCACGTTTAACCCCACCCGAAACACTATATAGTAGACCGTGGGCAAACAAAAAATGGGGAAAAAAAGACTGTCTCGTCTATTTCGAATTTTTTTGGTTGGTTTTTGATGCTTTATAAAAGTGCATTTGTCCCACTTCTCACGCAGTCTCTCCTCTCTCCCAAATGACGCACGCAACACTCCGACCATCAGGTGGAGGGGAGATTTGAAACCCCGCTTAAGGGAGGGCTTCTTTTCGTTTTGAAAAAAACTTGGGTTTTCAAAAAATTGGTCGAGTGAATTCGACGGGAAATTTGCGGGATCTCACGGCGACTCTTCGGCCGCTGAACCGTGATGACGGCCAAGGGAAGCTTAGACGAAAAAAAAGTATGTCTTAGAAAAAAAATATATTTGAATTTGTGTCACATTTTATTAATATAATGGGCGCCGCGTTTTTAGATTTTCCGCTGTTGATTTAGCACTAATTTTGCCAAGATCTTAAACGGGTCTTTTCACCACAGCTGTTTTCTTTTTCGTTTTGCAATTCTTCCGTCGTGATATAAACAGTGAACTATTATTATAAAGTATTGTCTACCGGCTTCCATAATTTTTGATTACCCTTTAACACCGCCATTTCCAAATTACGCTGACAATATTTACTATTCGCGGGGACTCAAAACACACTCCCGCCTGGGATCGAGACCACAAAACACACCACGTTTTTTTAGTCGGTCTTATTGCTCTCTCGCCGTGAAAAGTACTTCTCCGATGGGGAGAGTGCATTGTGCGACAAAAAGAGCTCAAACAAACAAGACGCCAGAAGCGAGAGGGAGACAGGGATCAAGTATTTGGTCGGAGGCCTGTGTTTTGATGTGTGAAACGTTATATGTCGGGGGCGGAGTCGGCGAAATGTCGAAGATTGTAAGAGTGCGGGGCTGGGATTACTGTGGGACGATTCTGTGGGTAATAGGGAGATTTTCGAGGGACGAGGCCTAGGATTGGCTGGCGCAGGCTGAGCGTTTTATTAATAGTCGCACAAGAGATTTAGGCTATGCAGTGCATAGGCTAATGATGAACTGCAAGCAATTGGGCGAGCTCGGCAACAAAAAAACCCTAACGCGGTATGAAAATAGCTGTTACGATTACGCCCGAGTTTGTCCCCAGTCTGTCTCCCCCCAACACGTTTTCGTGTTTTTGTCTCCGTCTCGGAATACGAGGGAGGGCTACGATATATTTAGACTCTAATTCTTTATGACCTTCGGCGATTTAAAGTGCTAATAAGCTAGTAAGGACCTTGATCCCATTGGTCGGTGATTATCTCTTCATATCGCGACGAAACGATATCGCTAATCCGAAGTAACATCTTTGAGCAATTTTCCAAATTTTTATTGGCCAAAAGTACTTTATGACAACACTAATTTTTCTCAATTTTTTTAAAATTTCAAGTCCAAATAACGGGCACTAAATCTTAAAGCGATTATAAATCCGATTCAAAAAGACGAAATGTCATTATAGCGTGTCTGCCCATTATTTTATAGTAGATTTTTCTTAATTATTCATTTAATGTTGACCTTGTTGTCCTTTATTCAGTTGTCCTTTATCCTCGCGGTCTGTGAATTAATTTGAACTCGGCTTTATTGCCGCCGTGACACGATAGCCGAAAAATTTTGCTGTTTTACGGGCCAAATAAAGCTTTTGGTTTTTCTAAATCTTTAGTCATCATTTTTTGCAGCCATGGACACCATGGGTCACGTATTTAGTTTCCCGGCGCCAACTTTCAGTCTAACCGAGCTGGAGTGCCAACAACTCACAGATCAACCCTTCACTTCCGAATACACTCAACTACCGGTCCAACAATCGACGTCGCCAGTTCCCGAAGAAAAAGTTGTCGTTCCCACGGATCCAGTCAACTACAGTAAGATTCATTTCTCGTTCTTTAAAAAATCGGGAATAGCGAATCATAAAGAGACAAAGAAAGGGGTCGTAACGTTGTTTCGGATCCGTCCATTTCATATTTGCGAATTTTACCAATAAGGTTTTGGAATTGCATAGTGCGATCTACTCTTTTTTTTATTGTGCTGGACGGGTTCTTGGAAATGGGTTTTACTGTTAGAGTAATTTAGAGATTAGTTTTATATAAAATATGCTACCGTAGACATTTTTTCATCTCCATTCCATAACTTGACGAACCACATTTCCTCCGCACGGTACGGAAATTTGACTGTTTTCTGCACAAAACAAAATTCTTAACAGTTCCTTCAGTTTTTTTGAAAATGCTTTTTTGTTAGTAATTATCGTATCGTATAAAAGTCGCTTGCACTCGGCCTGATTTTGTACCCCATAATTCCATTGCACCGCGCGAAAATTCAATTTTTTCTGATTGCACTGTGCAAAACACAAAGTTCTTAACAATCCTGTCAGCGCTGTTCACAAATAACTTTTTATCTCTAAGGGTGATACTGTAGGGCTTATCTTACCTCTGACATGATTCTTGCTCTTGAGATTCTCTCGCACAGCGCAAAATTTTCGCTTATTGGCTGCCCAAGACAACGGTTTCAAGATCATAATTTTGATCTCTCAATTGGAATGCTCATTAAAAAGTTACTACTCGTTTGCTAAGCGCCATGTTACGCCCTTTTCGACCCACATGATCCACAAATTCCGCTTGTTTACTTGTACTTTAAAAGCTTTCCAATTCTCGCACGCAGCAATAAAGTTTTGCACTTTTTTCGATGATTGAGTGTCTATTGATCACAATCACAAAAGCACAACCTGAAACATAACCTTTTAAGGGCCTTACAACGAGCGCTATCGAATTTTTTTGGGGTTTGAATAAAAATTCCATTTAATTTTGCGATAAAATTTTTTCCAAAGGCTGATAAAAAATGTAAATAGTTTGGAATTTTGAGTGGGAGATAAAGCAAGTAATATAAAAGGAATTAAATCAGAGATTATTTCAGTCTTATCGGAAATGAAAATTTCAGCACGATGCAAACATACCGAGGCCAATGCCAGATGTTTGGTGTGTGGCGAAGCGGTGTTATATCACAACTTTGGGATCTCGGCGTGTAATGGATGGTAAGTATTGCCTTAAATGTAGCGGAGATAAAGTTTATAACTGTGCCTAAAAATTTAAGAGACCAGAAAACAATTTTTTACCAAAAACTTTTTTCCTTGGAAGGTCCGTTTTCAGGGTACTTGATCTAACAAAGGAAATCACATTTTTCGCAGATGTACTTTGGAACGGGACCTAGTAGAATTCCAAACGTGAAGCTTCTGCGATCATAAAATTGATTTCCAAGATGTGTTTACGGGGCTTCGCGGCCGAGAAAATCGACCGCAAAGTTTAGCCGAAATCAGCAAATAGCTCCTCAAAAGAAAAAATTGCGGTCGATTTTCTCAACCGGGCAGCCCCGTAAAGACAAATGGAAAAAAGTTTCATGGTCGTGGATGCTTTGAAACCTAATAGGTCTCGTTCCAAAGTCCGTCTGCGAAAAATGTGACTTCCCTTGTAGGATGTTTTTTAATCCTGCAGACATGATCCGAATAGGTCGTTAATCAATTCCTAAAACTTTTATTTGTCTCGCATTTTTAACGACAGTCGGAGAAACTTTTCGGTCTTCTATTCAAGAGAGCACGTGAAGTGGCACGAGTGGGGCAGACGGAAAACGGTTTTAGTCTATATCTTTTCTTACTGCGTGCTAAAATTGGGGCTTTTAGCGAAAGCTTCTTTGCATTTGAAATCAAGGTTTGAATTTGTAAACCGAAATCACAAAAAGACGCCAACTTGTTTACAAATTCAGACCAAAAAGCTCGGAAATTTTAAAAAGAAAGTCAAAGTTGGGAATCTCACGTATGCTTTGCTCCAAAATGACGCCAACTTTCCTCAAATTCTGTTTGCGTCACCGCAAGCCACGTCCTTTTTCGTGACAGGTATACTAAAAAAACATTCTTTCAGTGCCGCGTTTTTCCGACGGACAATTTTACAGAGGAAAAAATACATTTGCCGGGAGTTTGGGAACTGCCAGATTTATATGAGTAAGTGGAATTCTTTGCACATTTTTTTGAAAAAAAGATTGATGAATTTGTTTTCTTTTCAGCAAAAAACAAGCGTCGCTGTGCCTACTGTCGCTTTGAGAAATGTGTAAAAGTTGGGATGAACGTTTCAAGTGAGTTACTTTTTATCTTTATTCTACTGCAAATTTGGGAGGATGCCCGTATTTTGCAAGTTAAAAGTAAATGACTTTTTATCAAACTAAAAAATTTTAGAACTGATGACCCGTTTAACTCGCGAAAATGATGATCCCCTAAGGCAGTTGATGTATTGTCATCGTGGTATCTACACTTCAAGGAAACGAAATGCCATTATTCAGCTGGGATCTCTAGTTGTGAGTCCAGAAAAGACCCTAACTTACATAATTTTTAGAAACTCGAATGCATGGCAGAGCAGCCACGAACTTCTGCCTCGTTAATTCAAGCAACTTTAGTGGAGATCTCAGTGATGAAGGAGTTCCTTCGGACCAGCAATTTCATCCCTTGTAACATGTATGATACCAAATTTGAGGTAAGTTGCTGAGAAATTACGGTAGCATCATATTACAGTATTTCAAACCTTACCCATTTATAATTACTCTCTTTGCAGGTTGCACCGTGCATTTTCAATGATTTTGCGGTTAGTCATTGCAATGTACGTTGACTCTCAAGTTTAATCTTTTTTTTCGTGCGCCGTGCAACTTCCTTCACATTTTCGCCGTCGCACGGTGCATTCGCTTCTTTGAAAAATTTTTGGTTTTTTGACATAGTGCGAACAGTTGAACGGGGTTGCACGGTGTGGAAGAGCATTTTTGTACTTTTTGGAAACGAAGCGAATCAAAATTACATTCAGTGCACGGTGCAATTAGCATTTTTAGGCCTTTTTTATCTTTGCACTGTGCAGCAACAAAAATTTCAAAATTCTCTGACGCAATAGAGGGGTTCTAATATAATATTTTGAAAAGGAATTTGAATTCAAACATATTTCGAACAATCTGAAAAAATTCCGCGACAAAAAGATGCGCTTTGCACTGTGCAATAGACTTTGCAAATTAACTGCACAGTCCGTCATAATCGGCTCACTGCACGGTGCAGCGGCAACTTTTTAGAATTTCTTGAAATGAAAAAAATTTACTAGAGGATCACGAGGCTATCGCATAGTGCAAAACTATATAAGCTCTCTTCCGCACGGTGCAACGCGACTTTCTTTTTTTGGGGAAAAATATTTTTTCTTTCATTTTTCTTAGATTTTGCTGATTTTTTAAGTTTAAGCTTTTTATTTTAGGGAACAATGTGCTCAACGTTACTACATACCTGGCTAACAATGCATTCCATTTTTGCGACCCGGTTTAACAAAGGATATACGAGTAGAAAACTGTATTTTGTTGACAACAGTTACTTACATGTGACCGAGGAAAGCGTTATCGACTACTACAGCACGAACAAGATGATTTCCGACCCTAAATTTGTTGGGATGTAAGGACTTCAACCTTTTATTCCGAAAATTTTGAATATTCATATCTTTTACTTATTTATTTTTTTTTGCATATTCAAATTTCAGCAATAGCATGCCATTGTTGAATAAAGTTCTGGAGGCGGCAAAAAAGTTGGACCAATTCCATGTAGATGAGCACGAGTTGCTGATACTGACGATGTTGGTTGTTATCCGAGCAAGTAAGTTGAAAATGCACACTAATTTGCATAGATAAAATCAAAATTACAAAATTATCGTTGTGAGTTGTAAAATACGGCATGCGTAAATCCCCATATAATTTTTTTTTCTCTGGGGGTCTGCTGCTTTTTTAGGGTCAAAAAAATTAGTCTTCTATTCGTGTTTAAGCACTTTAATACTCTTGAAACACAATGCCAAAATTATGCAAAATTTGTGTGGAATTCAGAAATTCAAATCTGAACTTCAAAGTGGCATGAATGGCATGAAAAATGAATAAAAAAATACAGTTGTATTGTATCCAAAAACGCCGACAGTTTCAAAATTTGGCGGTAAATTTGTAATTCGAATTTCACCAAACGCAAAAATAAAAATTTCAATGTTTGACTGTTGACTTTTCAGGTATTTGTCGGATGGGCCAATCCAAATATTTCATGGAATGGCAGAATCGCTTGTTCAAGGAGATCCATCAATTCTACAGTGGAATTTATGTGGATATTCCAAAACGACTAGGGGAATTAATGTTGTGTTTGGAGGCTATTGAGGTAATTTTTAAATTTGTTCTTTCAAAAAAAATTCTCAATTTTTAAACTTTGGAGATTTTTTGAGCTTTCAAAAATTTTGAATATTCAAATTTTGAAGAATTTTCTGTGCAAATCCTTACTGTTGTTTGAACAATCTGTAAAATGTTCAAGTCTTCTTTTTCAGACTGCCGATAGGAACTGTGACAAGCTGGCCGTTCTAGTCCAGCTGAATTACCGGAAAACTGAAGATGTCGGGTATAAATTATACGTGCGAGGTCATGACGAAGTCAACTGAGCAGTGTAAATGTATTTTTTGGATAATAATTGTTACGCAATCACAATGTAAATAAATAAATTATTAACACAAACATGCAATAAATTGTTTTCCATATTTTTCAAATTATAAAAAAATTTCGAATTCGAAATTTTATCAAAAAAATTACGTCAAACATGTACATATATACATCATTATGCTAATTTCTTATTCATCAAAAATTTTCTTCTTTTTCGTGCAGCAGCGGCGTCGTATGCTTCTTGACCAAAATTTTCGACAATCTTGCACATGGTCACGGATTCTAGCCAACAGATAAACGTGAGACTTTCAGGACACTTGCAGAAGTTTTCATCACAAGTTGAGCGGCCTCTCTGAGCGTCATAACATCTATCGTGCTCGAGGCAACAGTCGTCAATGACATCTGAAATTGACAGATAACTTTATAAATCGTATATATTAAAATTACACAAATTACAACTAACTGGTCAGTGCAGTATTTCGAAACTTTTCAGCTGCGCGGTGCAAAAACAGAATGTGAGGTGACTCCAGCGCAATCCCCGTACCGGCTAGAGGTGGCAATCGGGCCGGGCCTGAGCAGATTTGAAAAAGCCCTGGGCCGGCCTGACCGCTTCGGCCCGCGGGCCGGGCCGACAGTTTCGGCCCGGCCCGGCCCGGAAGGTAGATAAATAAAAATTTTTTAATGCTAAACCAGCAAAATAAAGCACAAATGCTTTGTAGAATTGATGGAAATTAGATTAAACCTTTTTTGACTTATACGCTGTTTTTCTACCTTCTAAAATTATGTATAGTATGTATATGTAACTTATTTATTATGTATATAGAAAATCCTACCCAAATATGCAAGGGTGGGGCAAAAATCTTCGATTTTTTTTATGATAAATTTAAAAATTTCACTGTAATTTTGATTCCTTGATGTAAATGAAAGTGTTTAAACATTTTTTGGTTAACCATGTAGCCTTATAACGTCCATATTTTTATATAGCTAACTTCCTATAGGATTAAAAAATTCAACACAATCCAACTTTTTGGCTAAGTTTTAGCTACCTGTACGGATGTTCCAGTCATCCGACTACACTTTTTAATGTCACGCATACATACGTAAAAACCTTCTGGAAAGCATAAGAACTTCCAGTAGAAGTGCAAAGACTTTTATCCAACTTTTTTGTATTAGCGGGCCTGAGCAAATTTGAAAAAGCCCTGGGCCGGCCTGGTCACTTCGGCCCGCGGGCCAGGCCGCAAAAATCGGCCCGGCCCGGCCCGATTGCCACCTCTAGTACCGGCTAGCCACGAAAAACGGAAAGCCAAAGATTTTCTCCAAGATTTTATTTGTAACGACACGCCGCTTGATTAAATCTTCGTCAGGAAGTAGCTTACACCGGATTGACTCGAATGTGCTAAAAGATATGGATTGAATGGTGGACGAAGAAGATAAAATCAAGTAAAATTGAACTTATTGAACTTGTTCAACTGAAAAATTCTTAAAAAAGGCCTTTTATAGATTGCAAAAAGTCAAAACTTTACGGGGCTTTGCAGAGAAAATTTTATACAACGAAAAGTTGTCTTGGTTTAGGCCGGGGTAAGCTTATCTTAGGCTTAGCCCAGGCTTACATCACCGCTAAACTTTGCCTCAGGTTACGTTAAGCTTAATTTGGGCTTATCCTAAGATTAGTTTGGCGCTTTGGCTTAGGGTTACATTCTTTCTGGCGCAGCTCGCATTGGCTTTTGATTTTTTGGACGGTGGCCAATATGCGGAACTTTTTCCAAACGAATTTAACTACAACGAGGTAAACGCAGTTCTAGACACCTACAGTGGCGGTCAAAAAAAAAACGGCCACCCCAAGATGATGCGCTCTAACGCAGAAGAGAGTGGTCAATAATAGGAAGATAAATATGGGTGCAGTAGTCCCATGGGCAACTCAAGCGTATACGAATTTGACTGTAATGCCATCCAACCTCGTTAATCCATCCGGCCGACGCTGATCCACAGTTCCATTGATGAGAGGTTCGAATGGAAAATGCCAAGACTAAGATCAAGAACCAACCTCCCATAACTATTGGGGATTTTGATAATGAATGAGAAAATCAAAGAAATTGGTTTTTTCTGAATTTCGAATTTTTGTTATTGATATTTCTTTTCAGGCATCACTAATGTAAGACTTTGAAGCGCTATATTCTGAAAACTTTGCAGTACAAATTGAGGATTAAAACGCAAGGCAAACCTTGCCGGGATTTTGAATTTTCAAAAAAGAAATTGTGGTATTCGCACATTTATTGTCCTTATATCCGATAATAATAAATCAAAAAACAAAAAATTCCGCACGATTATCCAAAGATGTTGGTAAAAATGTAAATGATCTCGCCGAGGTGACGGACAGAAAGCTCGATCCATCCGTAAGTCCTGGGGCAATCTTGCTTGACAATATTAAGACATTTGAAGAAAGTGTGGTCGCAATGGGCATGACCATTTCCTTCGGAGTAACACATGTCGTGGATCCTACAGCACTCATTGATCAGGGCTGAAAAAAAATTCACGTTTACTGAGAGTGAAAAAACCCCGATTTGGCAAAGGTTCCGCAGATTGGCTATCACTCCAAAAAAATCAGAAGTCTTGTGGAAATAAAATGCGCGACCTGCAAGGGACATTTTATACAATGAAAAGTTAGGCGCAGGCTGGGCTCGGCTTTGTTTAGACTTAGAAGGGAAGTATCCCAAGTGCAACGCTCAGGTTTTCTTTCGATTTTACACACACTTCGGGCATAGAATAAGTATCAATTCCTCAAAGCTTTAGCTTGCGCTTTGAAGGCGAAGCCGAGATATTCAACGAGGTACTTCCCCTATAGCCTAATCGTAGGATAGTGCATAGAGGCTAGGTTAAGCATAGATCAGGCTCTGCCTTCTATTTACGGCGCGCAATTGTCATTCTTGCGTTCCTTCTATTTCCTGGGCGCAGCTCGAATTGCCTTTTCATTTTCAAGGAAATAAAAACTTACTGTAATGCTCTGGACACATGTTCCAAATTCGGCCTTCTATGAAATCACTGGTCAATGCCTCGAAAATCTGCGGGCCACAGTACCATTTACCTCCAAATACGGAGGAAATCAGCAGAGCCAATAACAAGAAACGACCGACCATGGCGTGAACTTGCGACAAAACAGCGTTTTTCCATGGAATTCAGCAGAGAAAATTAGAGTAATTTGTGGTATAAACCCTGAATCGACCACAAGACGTTCAAAATTTCGAGAAATACCTGCCAATAATGCATAACGGACATAAGTAAGTCTAAGTTAATCTCATGACATTTTTATTTTCACATTTTCATCAGGACGTGGTGTAAATAATATCACATTATTCAAAATAACTTTTTCGATAAATCCTTGACTTTTCCTGCTCTTTTGTAGGCATCATATCCAAAGACTTTTACGTCTTTGCACATTGCAAAGGCGACTGACATACATCCCTCGGAGTGTTTCACACAGTCGCAGAAGATTTCATCGCAATACATTTGGGCGAGTTGTTCGCCATAACAAAGGTCGTGGGCCTTGCAACAGTTGTTGAACATGTCTAAAATAGCTTGATGAGTCTGTAAAAATAACTATAAAATTGCGGTGCGAAATTGTAGTTAGTTTACTAGAAAGCTAGATAAGCTCAAAGCATCATGGATGAAGCATTATTATATATTATAATAATTTTGACCAAAAACTATAGACAAAAACTTAAAATGAGGCCATTGAATCCTATAATCTGAATGATATTCTCTTGTTTTGTCTTATTTTTTGCGTTTTTAGCTCTGAAGTATATCATAGAATGCCAAAAAATTCTACGCCCAATGCAAAAATTAACAGGTATTGACTTACGGTACTCATCTGGACAAACATCTTTGACATCCTTTTTGGAGAATTGACTAAGCACGTCGAACAAGGACTTTCGTTCACCCCCACACTTCCATCCACTTCGACCCGAAAGAACTCAGGAAACAGAAGAGCCACGATGAAAAAACAACCTGGTAAAAGTTCCTTATTTTGGCCACAACTTATAACTTTGCGGAAACTGGTCGGAATTAGCTCAAATTTTAGCGTCCTCAATTCATCGTTGTCAATGCCCGGACAGTGGATTTAGTTAATGAGGTAGCTTCTTTTTTTCGTACCACCTTACCCTTCAAAAAGCAGCCTGTGATTTTACACTTTATACGATGAAACATGCCCGGAACTAAACTTATAGCCTCCGTATGGAACTAAATGAGTCTTCACAGCCTTCGTAGGTACCCTTAAAACTACAGAGCTATTATACAGGGTGTTTCAAGAAATTTGGAACAAATGATTTGCTTATAATTTTGTGTTCTTTGCAGCTATCAACGAATTTCTTTTTGTTTCTAAACATTGACAGCGTGCGTTTTTAGAATCTCAAAAAAAATTTTTTTTCGTCGGCGGAGGGCCCATTTCTCGGCGGAGAAAGTTAGGGCCTTTTTTAAAAATCACAGCGTATTACGTGGCGGAAACGCCGTTGCAACGGCTGAAATCAAGTTTACGTAATACATCCACCGATTTTACGGTATGCTTTTTTTGCGTTTTCGATTTTACGCACTTCCGCGGATGCGCGGCGGAGACCTCAGATTTCGGTGGACGTTGTTTTGGGCCTTTGGTTTTTGCAATTCATGTTGGAAAAGGAGGTTTGGGTGATTTTTTGTTGTCATCCGATGCACAGATGGCAAAAATTTCGTGCTTTTTATCGCCGGCGGAGGAGTCGGCGGAGGTTTTATCAAAGGGTAAAAACAAAACTCCGCCGATTTGTTCGCCGGACCAAGAAAATCAAAAATCTTTGAAAGACAATGCTGCCCTGATGGATTCTTGTAGCTGAGATTTTTCCCGGACTCGTAAGACTGCTTTTACCCTTTAATAAAGCCTCCGCCAAATCCTCCGCCGGGGAAAAAAAGCACGAAATTTTTGCCATCTGTGCATCGGATGACAACAAAAAATCACCCCAACCTCTTTTCCAACATGAATTGCAACAGACGAAGGCCCAAAACAACGTCCACCGAAATCTGAAGTCTCCGCCGCGCCTCCGCGGTGAGCGTAAAATCGAAAACAAAAAAATGCATACCGTAAAATCGACGGAGGTGTAACGTAAACTTGATTTCAGCCGTTGCAACGGCGTTTCCGTCGCGTAATACGCTGTGATTTTTAAAAAAGGCGCTAACTTTCTCCGCCGAGAAATGGGCCCTCCGCCGACGAAAAAAAATTTTTTTTTTGAGATTCTAAAAACGCACGCTGTCAATTTTTAGAAGCAAAAAGAAATTCGTTGATAGCTGCAAAGAACAAAAAGATATAAGCAAGTCATTTGTTCCAAATTTCTTGAAACACCCTGTAGTAATTCAGGGCCAGCTAGGTCGCGCGTTTTTTCCTAACTTTCGAATTTCGTAAATCCTTTTTACAAAAATCTTGGAGATTTCTCAAAATTTCCCCAAATTTGTTCCTCGGGAAACACTTGCATTTTCTTCATTTTCGATCTCCGAGTTTCCAGCGCACGGTTGTCCATCCAATCGCTGAGAACGGTGTGCAATTCGGCTAGCCAAATTTGGGATTTGCAAGATGAATCGCCGAAAAAAGTCAGCAAGTGAACTCTCCAAAAATTCTGAAGACAATGCTGGTGAGTTTCAAAGTCTACCCAAGGGATGTTCTAGCGATTTTATCCAAAAAAATTGAGTTCCGATTTTCCCGCTATTTTTGGCATTCCGTGTCAGAGATCCAAAACTTGGTTTCTTAGGCTGCAAAATTCTGAGGGATTCGACGGAAATTGCGTTTTAAATATTGTTGGGTAACACGCGTTGAAGAAACAGAGCTCTTGGTAACTGAAAATGCTGGAAAATATTGCAAACTCTTAATTTTCGGCCGGATTAACTAAATTTATTTTTCGTGTTTCAGATCGGTCATCGCGTTTCCAACGCTCCTCGCGAGATTCACAACAACCAAGCAGCGATGACGGGAGCTTATCCACCTTTTTTCCATGTAAAAAACTCTTTTCTGACCTAATTTTTTATTGTTTTAGCTTACTCTAAATCCTCCGATTCCGAAACTCATGTGTACGATGATGTGGAGCCTCTTTCTAGTCCAAAGCAGGGTAAGTATTGAGATTTTGCTTTTGAAATCTTGCGGAAGGACCGATTTCTAGGGCGAAATTTTTGGTAATTTCTGAAATAGAATCAATTTCTTCAAAATTCGTTCAATTTTTCACATTTTCCATTTCAGTCTCACCCAAGAACCGGTCCAGCTCGATGTCCCGTGGAAGTGAAAGCAATTGTAAGCAAAGAAAACGTAAGTTTTTGTCATCAACTTTCGAGGTTTTTTGTATGTTCTACTATTTTCTTTATTTTTTCATGTTTTTAGGTCGCACATGGTCCACATCGGAGTCCAGCGTCCAATCCAGCCATTCCAAGTACAATCCAACTCCGTGTAAAGGTAAGAAAAGGGACTTTTATGCATCAAATAGGGAAAAAAGTCGTGTTTTCCTCATTTTTTGGAAAATTTCCATGGCAAAACTGGAACTTCTGGCCAGCCCAGAGAAGCCACAGAACCATGTAAGGTTTTTGTTGATATCGAACACCACACAGTGTCCTGACGGTGCGCCTGTCAGGTCAGGCGCACAACCACTACACCATGTGGGCGACGCCTCTTTCCCTCTTCGTTCGAGAGAAACGATAAAATTTTTCGTTGCGGCAGAACTCTACCCTTTTTCTGAACTCTACCCCTTTTTCAACTCTACCCCTTTTTGAACTTTACCCCTTCAGAACTTTACCCCTTTTCAACTCTACCCCTTGAATGAACCCTCCCCTTTTTTGAACACTACCCCATTTTGAAAATTGAAAAAACGAGGTGTGACATGTTATACGATGGAAATTTTTTTCAAATTGAAAAGAATGAAGTGTGACATCTTATACGATGAAAAAATTTTTCAAATTGAGAAGAATAAGGTGTGACATCTTATACGATGAAAAATTTTTTCAAATTGAAAAGAATAAGGTGTGACAGCTTAAAAAATTAGGTGTGACATCTTATACGACGAAAATTTTTTTTCAAATTGAGAAAAATACGATGAAAAATATTTTCATCGTATAAGATGTCACACCTTATTCTTTTCAATTTGAAAAAATTTTTCATCGTATAAGTTGTCACATCTTATTTTTTTCAATTTGAAAAAAATTTTCATCGTATAAGATGTCACACCTCGTTTTTTCAATTTTCAAAATGGGGTAGTGTTCAAAAAGGGGTAGAGTTCAGATTGGGGTAAAGTTCAGAAAAGGGGTAGAGTTCAGGCTCAACCAAAATTTTTTGGTGTATCTTCGGTTTTTACCATTTAGCTAGGGTAAAATAGGGCGTCGCGCCACTTGCGGGCAACCACTTTTCGGGCAAATTCTTTGCGGGCAAAATTTGGGGGGGGTCACATTTGCGGGCAGCTGGGACATTTGCGGGCAACCGACACTTGCGGGTAACAGGGTGGAGGTGGAAATATTACTTCGATGTTTTGGAAATTTGCCGACATTTGCGGGCAACAGGAAAAAACAAGCACGCAGATTTGCCCCCAAATGTCGGCATTCCACAAGTATCGGCTGCCCGCAAATGTCCGAAAACTTCCACAATATAGCAGTATTTTTTTCACCTCCACCTTGTTATCCTCAAGTGCCGGTTGCCCGCAAATGTCGGCTGCCCGCAAAGAATTTTCCCGCAAAGTGGTTGCCCGCAAGTGTGCGCCCGCCTAAAATAGCCAGAAAAGAGGAAAAATTACGAGACAAATCTTGTTTTTTGTCGAATAAAGTTGTCCTTTATTTTCAGTTCGTCCCAAGAAGCACTCCAGCGACCAATCCAGTAAAGCGGAAGACTTGTCCAAGTCAAAGAAAAGTAAATAAGGAAATCCTTTTTGTTTTTGTAAAATTTGAGGCCTATAGAACAGTTGAGCAGCATCTTTCAAGTTGATTTAAATTTAGCCCCGCCAATATCTTCCCTTCGCTTATTGAAATTTCTACTTTTAGCCCACCGCAGAAACCGTTCCAGTTCCTTGCTCCCACCCAACAAGCGCTCATCCGAATCTGAGAAGCACCGTCGCAAGTCGCAGAGGTCAAAGAAGTCCAGCGACCAGTCTAACCGGCCCAGATCCTTGTCTAGTGACGAACTTTGGCAGAAATGTATCACCCAGCTGGAAGAAGGCAGCGAGGATGCCAAACGTCTGCATGAATTGGCTATGCAGACCGCAGCTTTGGAAGCGGAGAAGCTGGAGTTTCGCCGCAAGGTTTTGGAGAAGCGTCGACCCAAAAATGGAGTTGTCAAAGAGCAGAAATGTCTCGCCGAAGAGCGCGCCAGACTGGCTGGAGTGAGAAAGGATGGTCGATACAAAGAAACGGATGTGGAGATGGCCAGCGATTCGAATTTACCCAGAAAAAAGGAGGATTTGTCGGAGGCGAGCTGCGCCCGAGCTGTTTCGAGCCGCGCATTGAGCAAGTCCAAGAGACCGAAAAAGAGGTTGAAACGGGAATATGATGAGAATAGCGATGGTCCAATCGATGACTTGCGGACTGGTTCGAAAGAGCGGAGAAAAGCGACCGAATATTTCGAAGCGGTCGAAAATTCAAAACGTGCAAGAAAGTCCAAAAAGGATGGCAAAACGAAGAAGGTGAAAAAGGAAGGTAAGGAACGGTCTAAAAAGTATGTTATTTTTAGCAGAGGCCAAAAAGTTGACCAAACATCGGAAATCGACCAAAAATGAAAAACCGGTCGATTCCTCGAGCAATGATAAATCCGGACGTTATGATGGTGTTGCCGACAAACCGGAGCGTGAGTATTATTTTGGAGGAAGTTCGAGCGAAAAAGTCCCGTCCACGGCGATCCGACGAAGGAACAAAAATTCAGCGGATGAGAGCGAAAAATTGGCTCAAAAAGCTCGCGAAAAGACGAAGAAGCGCTTGGAGAAGACGGAACAGACGGCCGTTCAAAAGATCATCAGCGAAAGTTTGACCTCGCGTGAGAAGTCGGTTGAGAAGTTCGAAAATGAACCGCACCGTGCGCAGAAAAAGAAACCGAAAAACAAAATCGACCGGGAAAAGTACCGATCGACCGGCAACAGAGGCAATAGAAGACATCGCAGCAGCAGCTCTGATGCTTTTGAAGTGAAAGATGGTCGATGCGGCGGAAGATCCAAAATTTTTGACGATTCGAATGCCAGACGCAACAAGTATAATACTCGCCGTTCTGAGGGGAAGCCAGATGTCTCCAGGAAGAAGCGCAGCCAAATCAGACGTTCTGCAAGCAGTGGTCGTCGTCCTGACGAAAAGGCAGAACGTTCCGCCTCGCAGCGTCCGTCTTTCGAGAAAGCTGGGGTTTCTTCCGACGACAAGCAACTCAAGAATTCAGCCGAAAAAGCAGATGATCAGAACTCCAAGGATGGATACTCATGGCCCACAGGCGATCCAACAAAGCTTCTGGAGGTCAAGAATGAAAAGCCAAAGAAGGAAAACGCGAGCGACCGACAGCGGCCGAAAGATACAAAGGGTTCCAAAAAGACGTCGAAGAGTACCAAAAAAACAAGAAGTTCCAAGAAGAGTAAGGATTTGTCCAGTCAAAGCTCAGTCAGCACCATTATCGACCCAGCCGAGCTGATCTGTTGCCGGCATGGACGGGTTTGTCCGGATGGGAAAAGAGAGCAGAAGGCGGAAAGAAAAAGAAGAAGGAGCAAAAAGATAAAGGAGAAGTAAGAGATGGATTTTGAAAGATTTTATTTATTTTAAAAATTTTTACATAGAGACCCCCCCCTTCCCGCCCTCCTCTTTCCTTTATTTAGCGGACCTTTCCGTCCTTCGTGCCAAAAATAGCGCATATTTTCAAATAATACCGATTTTTTGAAACACTGAGGCTTCTAATGGAGTTGTTTAAAAGAATCTACAGATCTAACTTCAATCCGCCTCAAGGCATCGATTTCAAATTTAACGTTGATTTTTGCTATTTTTTCCATTTTTTAGAAAAAAGCGGACCACATCCAGCAAAACAAGTCAATCGAAGAAATCGGCTCACTCCCTGAAGCGAGTTTTTCCAGCTGATCGTCGCAAGAAGTCCAAATCTTCGGCGACAAGGGCAGAAATTTACGAAGAAGCAGTTTGGGACGAAAGGACAACCAGGACCTGCAAAGAGAAAGAATCCACCCATGAAATGAATGATACTCCAGTAGAACCGGTGCAGATCGAACCCAAAAAGGCGAGCAAAAAGAAGGAAAGGGAGTAAGTATTTGTGATTTTGCTGTTTTTTTTTTGACTTTCTGCTCAGCGCAGAAGGCAAAAAAAATTCTGCACGGTGCGGATTTTTTTTGGTGTTTGCACAGTGCAATGGGAGTTTTTTACTGTTTCACTCTGCCGTAACGGATCAATGCACTGTGCAAACTTTTACAAAACCGTGCTAACAAGGCATTTTATAAAATTTGACGGTTTAGTCTCTGATTTTCAGGGCAATGCCCGACGTTCCGACCAATCCGGCACCTGACTTGGAAGGCGAAATCGCTTTTCCCGAGTTTTTCCTTGGCGCAATGGAACAATACGAAGCTGAAGAGAAGTGTGACAGTCTGACTGCGTTCAAATTCTACTATATGATCGATGAATACACCTGCTTCGAGTTTTTGGATCCATATCTGCCGTTGTACATTGTTTATCGGGACAGCTCGGGATCTGCATGGTAAGTGCAGTTTGCCATGGGTAATACGAAGTAAAGTCTGGGGCAAAGCTTTTTTTTGGAGAACGATTTTGTAAAAGTATTTTAGCAGTAATTCTGTCACATTTTATATTTTTAAAATTTTTATTTTCCCGTCCAAATTTTGAAATTTTGGCGTTCTGTGTCCGACTCTAATTTTGGTCATTTTCAGGCATTTCCCGGTCGTTCAAGTCGCTTCTGGCACAGATAACTTCTTTTACGTCAACTACAACCACCGTGGAGCTCCGAGATTCCGCAGCATTGCCGCACTCATCAGGTTCTACAGCGTCTACGTCCATTTCCATCAGAATGAGTTTGGAGAAATGATCACTGATGTGTTCCCGTGGTGGTATTTGTTTGGAAACAGCCCATTATCCAAGTCGATGTCAGATTTTTGAAGAACGGTGCGAGGATTTGAAAAATTTGAATCAGATTTTTGAATGGCAGTATAAATTTGAATAAATTTAGCCGTGTTCCATACGCGTCTTGTATAAACATCGATATAAAAGTGGCAGTGAGATAAATTTACTTCGAGTTAAACCGTAAATTTAAATTAATTTAGCCATTAATTTACATTTTTTACATGGAAAGACTAGAAAATGATCTTTGATATTACTGGTTCACTTGGAAAACGACTGGAGCCTGTCTCTCTCATCGCTACGGGGCAACAGTCGTCGGTGACACGAAAGTAATATTGACAATTGTCGCCAAAATCGCGGGTAATGGAGTGCTGACTTCACCAAAATGAGCAATTGCAAAGGTATCCTCGTTGCGGTCGTAGGTCTGGTCGCGGCTTGAAACTGAAAAAAGAACATATAAAAAGGAATGTCTTCTACTTATTTTGCCATCTACAAACGCGATAATACACCGTGTTTTACACTTATTCATTTCCCAAATAAGCCAGGGTGCAGCTCAAAATTTTCGTGAAACTAACAAGGGTAGTAATTTTGCCATGGGGCGCAGCTTGCCAACACAAATTTCGAAAAAACCCATGCCCAGGCGGGAAAACGATCTTACCATCGCCGGTATCGATATTCTTCTCCATCTGAGGTGTTACGTCGCCTTGAGCGGCTGCATTTTGAGTCTGCGCCAAGTCATTTCCAGGCATCGGCGGGATTGGGAATCCAGTCTCGGCGATAGACTTTTCAAGACTTGGCGGAGTCGGAAACAAATCGTTATCCGCATTCTGCTGCCCAGCAGGACCGCTAGGAGGCATTGGTGCTGTTGTTAATTCCAAATTCGGGGACACGGTGGTTCCGGCCGCGGTTTCGGCCGTTTCCGATTCTGGTAGATATGGGGCTTCAGATGGATTTTGAGGAGTGTTGTCGGATGGGCCAGACGTTATTGGCTCTAGAGGGGCTGTGGACGGTTGAGTTTCATTATCCAATGGATTTTGAGGATTTTCCGGATTTGCTTCTTGTCCGGAATTTTGATTTTGACCTTCAGGCGTTATCATTGGACCACCAGTAGCACTAGTAGTCGCTTGAGTTGTCGCATTTTCACTTTCACTCGAATTTTTTGGCTCTTCTCCGCTAACGTATTCCGGTTGGCCCGTTACCGTGATTCCAGCAGCCTCCGGTCCCAAAGTTGTTCCCATAGGGCGGTAGGTAGGCCATGCTCCCCATTCCGGAAGTTTCTCCCCATTATCATTGAACAGACTGTCGTCATTGTCAGGGGTCAAATTTTCGACCCCTTCGAAGGGAAACAATGTAAACGTATCCTTCGGATTTTCGGTGGGGAAAAGTAAATCCGTGTTCGAGTCGATGAATCCGTTGGGATTAGAGGTCCAATCCGCCCAGTTATTGTTGGCTAAAAAATCTCAACCCATAAAATTTTGTGATAAAGTACCTTTTTGAAATAACTGCGTATTTTGCAAATTTCTTTATTAAACATTGCATATTTTAGCAAAAGATCAAGGAAATTATCGAAAAAACCGATGAGAATCCTAACTTTACATAAAAACACCTAAAAAGTCAATAAAAACGGTCCAAAAAAGTAGAAAAACCATTGTCAAAATACGGGCTAAGTATAGAGGTGTTTAGTTAAAATTAATTACCGTCGAAAGGAAAGCCATTCACAGCACCATCACCTGAGTTATGCACATTATTCCCACCTTCACCACGGAAACTTTGCCCCAAAACAGGGGGAAAGTCTTCAATATTCGAGATCTCCTGGTTCATAAGTTCATTGAGATTCAGTTTGGACGTCAACCAATGGGAATCCTGTTGCTGAGAGGAGAAACTGGCTGAAAAACGAGGAAATTATAAGAGAAATTGGGGAAAATGCAGAAAACAGAAGAAGAAATCGTGTTTTAGACGACAAAAAGTCTAGCATTACATGGTATCAGGCCGTATTTTACAGAAAAATGCTTATTTTTGCTGTAAAAAAATTTAACTCTTTTGACAAAAAAAGGAATAAAAAGGGAATGAATAAGGTATGAAGAAAATTTGGTGGCTCAAAATGGCAAACACACAAACATATTTCACATTTTTTGCCGTACCTTACAAGCTGGCACCAATTTTTGCTTTTTTTCAGTTCATTTCGACCGTTAAAACAGAATGTCATAGTGGCGGGAATTTAGAGATTCAAATTTTCAATTTTCTAATATCATTGTTAATCAAAGCTCTTGCAGTCAGATTTAAATCTACAAAAATTTGATGTCGGTATTTTACCCCAAAATACCCGAAATCCTAAGAACCAGACAAGAAATTCGCCATAAATTACAGTAAGACTCACTAAGATTCTGCAAATCATATCCAGCGTAATCCACTTGAGGCTCCAGGATATGTGGAGGGGTGATTGTGCCATTTCCCCGCCCAGTGATAACCATGGCCACATTTTCTGTGGTAGTTATAAGAAGCGGGGTTTGGCCGGAAATTTGGACCAGTTGATTGGTCGCTGAGAGTTTTACCTGAAATAAAAAACAGAAATTGCAAGGTTTTCTGAACAAACTATTAATAGATTATTTACCGTGGAAAGCTCTCATTTTTTTTCAAGTTTCGATTTTTTTTTAATTGAAAAGTCCCGAACTCACCTCTGTTTTGTTTGTCGTCAAACTTAGCACCGAATTATTCGCATTGGCCAAGATCATGGGATCAGCTAGTAATTGAAGTTGCAGAACTTTTGCAATCAACTGCAGGTGGTCGACATTGTTACTCTCCCCGTTGAAATTGATGTCCACTCCATGAGATCGGTCCAAATCCGACTTTGATGGGGTTTGAATATTGATAGATATGTTTGGCGAGTTGTTTGATATTCCAACTCGAATCCGGTCCTTTAGGAAATCGAAATTTAGGGAATTTTGTGTGATTGATGCTTGAAATGTTGCGCCAAGCGTGTGAAATTCGATCCGATGTGAGGGAGAGAGGAGGATTAACCGCCGAAAATGACGGTCAACCTGGACAATTATCTGGCCGTAGGTTAGGTGGATCTGGAAATTGGAGATAAATAAAAACAGGACCAAGTACCAGTTTCAAAACTGACGTTTGCTTCGTTTTTTTAATTCCATGAATTTTTGCCGAAAAAATCATCAAGAAAATATACCGAAATATGGCGTATTCTACAACTAAAAGTTCCATTTCAACACAGCCCACGACGACGTACCAACTCTCCTCGCACTGTAACATCCACATTCGCGGTTTCATCCACAAAGTTGACTCTAAATTCATCGGTTGAATTTTCGTATCCAAATCTCAAAACCCTCGAATTTCGAGCACTTCCAGTTCTTGCCCGCAGGCTAGCCGCGGTTCCATTGAAAATCGCCAAATTAAATCTCTCATCGCTGACGCCAAAATCAACAGAATCCGCGAACTGCGCCCTCATTTCGGACTCATCTCCCTCATTTGGATTCATCCGGAGATCCAGCGAACTTTTCGCCGCCAAACAGCGTAAATGCACGCCATACAAGGACACGGCGAGATCCGAAAACGAGCCGTTTACCCGGAGAAACGAGGCTTTCGAGTCAAAGGAGGCTAAGGAAAGGTGAGAAAAGTAGCTCAAGTTGTACGGAGCCTTGTCAAATTCTAATATCGAATCCAAAGATCGGGTAACCACGGTATCCTCGAGAACTGTGACATTCGAACGGACTGAATGGACCTGGAAAATCGGATTTGTTGAGAAAAAGTAAACAGGAAAAGTGTAATCAGGGCAACGTGTCTGCCAAAAAAATTTTCAAATTGGTAAGGATACGAACAAAACCCCAATAAAAACCCGTTTTTTTTACCTGAACATGCTCCAACGGTATCAATTGTCTCCTGTATCGCTTTATAAAGACCGCTCCATCACAATTCCATATAAGTAATTGAATTGATCCAATAAAAATTAGCACACAGTTGAGCATTTTATTTGTGAAAGCACTCTCTAAAGCAGATATTTGGCCGTCAAAAGTATCAAAATTGTACATACCATTTCATTTTGTATTTGCCTGAGGGTTTTTATGAGCAGAAAAAGGGCCTAAGGGCTATAAAGTTGATAGGATTTGGCGCCAAATTTTTAATTCCTTATTAGGGCAGTGGATAATGAAGAGATGGTAGAGAAAGAGGGGAAAATTGGAGTAAAAGAAGTGCTGAAAGTAGGACATAAAAATGGGAAAAGCCCTATTCTTTGACTGAACTGTAAAAAAATACTGGGAGTTATATAGCATGCGTTTTTCGCGGCAACATACGCAAAACTATCGAAAGACTAAATTTGACACTTAGCTTGCGCTAAAATGGTCTAGTATGCACCTTGTTTGACCGCATATACAAATTTAAAGATGATATTGCAAAATTAACAGCTATGACTTATTCTGCATGCCACATTGACTTTCAGCGTCTCGTATTTTATAATCATTGAACAAAAACTCGGGTAGGTAGGCTAGAAACAATCAATCGGTCCAGGCAAGTGCTCAAATGTCAGTGGCCCACAAGTATCGCAAAGTCCGGAAAAGCTGCGACAAATGCGCAATGCAATTTTTTATGCCGCTTTGCAAAAAAAATCTCTCGTAACGGTGTGTGTAAATTAAAAATTTATGGCCGCAGCGTGCAAAAAAATAAACTAAAGAAATTGAAAAAAGGGAAGAAAACATTTTTATTTCAAAAACGATTTAGAAATACCTCATAACCCCGTTAAAATGCTTTGAAGTCTCGAAAAATTTGCTTTTATGTTACACTGGGGTTCCAAATTTTATTTGATGACTTGAAAGCACCTAGAAAATCAAGCTAAAGAGTCATAATCTCCCCTAAAAAGAGCTAAAATGACCTCCTTCCTCCATAACTTTGACGAAAAATGACCCCAACGCAACCAGTGTTACCGGTTCCGGTGGCCATTCTCGCCCTTTTCAAACAGTTTCCAAAGCGCTTTTCGCTTAAAATGCCCTGCAAATCCCCCTCGGGGATTTGGCCATAAGCGAAAGATTTGGTTGTCGGGGCACTCACCTTCCCTCCCTTATAAGGCCCACTCAAAAAAGAGCTTTACTTTCGTTTTTTATACCATTCTTATATTGTTCGGGGTGCCATTAGAAGTCAAACATGCTTAATGGCGGCATGATTAGAGAGTTTTAGCATTTTTTGTAGAGTGTACTAGTCCGTTCGTAAAGTCGCTGGAATGATTTCGGCGACGCGCACTGTGCGAAAAAACTCAGGGTGCGGGCGACAGCCCGAAAAAGCCTATTGCACTGTGCAAAAAGCCAAAAATTGCACAGTGCAAACTGAACTTTCGGTTTCGCGGAGTGCATGTCGCCGAAAACATTCCAGCGACTTTACGAACGGACTAGTAGAGCATTCAGAAATTATAATATTTTTATTTGCATTTTTATTAAATTGTTTGGTTCAATTTTTTATATAAAATAAAAAATCAACATTACGTTAAAATCTGATGCAGAAAACAACAACATTAAAAACGTACCAGATTGAAAAATAAAAAAATCAACATACCAAAATCATCAGACAGGATCCAAACATGATACTCAAAATGGAAGTGCTCGAAGTTCAACGCTCATAATTTATGTTATATATTTGGAATAAACCTTGTGTCTAGGCCACATAAATAAAAGCTTCGAAACCTTCGGCTCGCGCTTACAGCTTCAACCGAGATATTTATCAGTCTGTTGGGAAAGACTTCTCACGCTCTCCTGTGAGTTTGCATTCAGAAATATTTAGATTTAAAGTCGTCAATAGAAGAGATTTCGTATTTTACAAGATGACTTTGCATTCTCAGTTGACAAAACTTTATCGTACATTTAGAGTGATCTTTGCGAGACATATTTGAAATTTGAGACGAGCCGGCATTATACTTGAGATTCAAATTTAATTTATTGACTTTTTTTCTGTTCGCATTAATGTACGTACATAGTTTATTTATTGCTATGCGTATTTTACCCTTCTTTCTAGTGAAATTTTGACTCTTTTCAATATAAAATTTTTACGATCGTAATTAACCTGCCTTTAATCAAGATAATGTTCTCCTTATTTCCTTGAAACGTCTATTTCTCACTTTGGACCCGTTTTTTCGGTCGATTAATAGGATCCATTTCAAAGAACATCTAAATTACATCTATTCAAAACAGCTCCACACTCGTTTTAATGCCTATATCGTGTAGCCAAAAAATTTTTTCAGGCGGCCGAAAGTTTTTAAACGGCTAAAAATACGAATTTTCGGCCGTTTTTTATTTGTCTTTAATTTATTATTATATACAGAAAATGTAATAAGAAGGTTGTGTCGGATAATTTCAGGTTCCCGGAGGTGGTTGCCATATCAACAAGGAAAGGAAAGGCCATATTAGGCCCGTTTTTCAGGCCTTTAATTGGTTTCGGCCCAACTTTTGCCGCTTTTACCGAGTAAATATCATAATTTGTGGGCGATAAAGTGCCGGTGGATTTATTGTACAGGGCACGGTTGCTTTCGAAAAGAAATTTAGAGACAGAAATGAAATTTTTTTTGATAAAAGGTTTTATCATGTAAAAGAAAAAATTTTGTAAAAAATATTACTGCAACCACAATCTAAGTTATCTTGATACATCCCTTATTACTTTAAATTCGTATTTTGCCATTTTCTAAAACACGATTTTTCATTTTCCCCATTGCAAAGTCAAAATTCCCAAATTTTCCGATTTTGCACTGTGCAGTTTTGAAACCCCCGATTTTATCCCAAATTTCACGGGAAAATTATGCAATCTTGTAAAATATGCCGTGTGTGCAGTGTTTGTTCAGACCAAATCACTTCAGATCCCTTTTCACCCATGGAACAAGCCCGCGCAACCACTGAACAACTTCGAATCGAAGCCGCAGTGCAACGTAAAAAAGTGTCAGAAGTCTCAAAAGAGCAAGTGATTTAGACGAAAAATTCAACTCAATCTATTATAATTTTTCAGCCTCATAGACTATTGTGAGAAGGGCAAAACGACCGATTGTCTGGTATCCGGCCCAAGCGATCATAATCCGTTCCAGGAGAAGAAGAGTTGCGCAGTCTTGTAAAAAGTACCGGAAATCAAATGGAAAATTAAATTTTTGTAACCCGGCTGTACTGTCGTCCCATATACCAAAATAATGAAACTATTTCCACCTAAATTTTTAATTTTGACAATTTCTTGGAATAAATTTTGATGTTGTACATAATATTTGATATTCAGTTGCAAAAAAAATCATTTACTCTTTGTAAAATATATTCCAAAAGTTTTTGAATCTACCATCAATGCTTCCAAGTCGTATTTTACCAAAATTCTTGTTCGAAAACCCGATTTCTAACGTTAGTCAGGGCGCGAACTGCCTGCAGCCTGCAGAATATACATTTTATACGTAGAAATTTTTTCTAAAAAACGATGGATTTTCCCATTTTTTCGCGTTCGGAAAGGGGTTCTCTGCTCGTTTCGAACTCTTCTTTACTAAATCCCATTAATTTTTATTGATTCACTCCGAGATTTCTTATGTATATTATTTTAGAGAGCAGATTTGACTTCCGTCCAGATGGATCGCATCTAAAATGATATAATTTCCCGCAAAAAAGGCTTGAACCAGGTGGATAAATTCGCTTTCTATTTGAACAAGTCGGAAATTGTTGGAGTTGAGGATGCGATGGCCATTTACATTGACCTTTATGGGATCTTCGCAAGAATCCAACCCCGGAACATCAGAAGGCCCATCCACGAACTATGAGGCCGATTCTAACGTCCTAGAAGAGTTCAATTCTCTGGCTTTCCAAAATTGGGATGCCGAATTTGCATCTGATCCATCAGAATGGGAACGGAAGTTCAACAGCGAGTGGGAAAAGTTGATCAAGAAATTGCAGAAACCATGTAAAGATGTTGGAACGGTGAGTACTTTTGCTTTTAGAATTGTTGTTCTGGGTTTTTAGGTTGCCTTGGACAAAGGTTTTATCATTTTGGGGTAAGACTTGGCTTTGTTTTGCCAAAGAAAATCTCTGAACCTAGTGTAATATACGGAATTGCTCAGATGTTTTTGCGCTTCTAAAACTGCAAGATAAACCTAAGTTAAAAAGCTGTGGGAATCCTTTCTTCAGCTACTTCACCTTTTCGGGACAATGGAATTTCTTTGTACGAATAGATCTAGGAGTTTTTTGGATCACGTCTGTTCGGCAAGTGCAAGGTCAAAATTCTAGTCATTTTCAATGTCTTCTGCTAAATTGTTATAAACAACACCTAAATAGGCCTCCAAACTTGCTAATAGAACAATGAAGCCTTTAAAATTTACTTTTTTCACTGGATTATAGCCAGATCTTGTTGCAGGTAACAGATGTTTGCGCTCACGTCGATTCAATGTGTAAACTGTTGGTTATGGAGGTGAATTCTCTGCCAATGGCTGCTATAGGTCCTATACTCGAGTTGGTATTTACACACGACATCTTCAAGTTGATTGTGGACTGGGCAGAGGAAATTCCTATCTATCTTGTACCTACTTGTCAAGTAAGTCCATTTTGAGTTTTTGCTTCTGGTTTTAGGTGTGGAAATGGATGAAAAGGATGAAAGAAGGTTCAGCCTTTCTTTTGAGGACAAAGAATCTAAAAATTGAAGAGTTTTGCTAGAGTGAACATCAATTTTCTAAAAATTTCAGCATGTTTGCTTCAAAAGTGTATTTTTTTAATTCTCTCCTCAAAAATGACTTGAAATTTCTTCCAGGTCCTTCTCCTGCGGATTTATCAAGGTCTTGTTACCCGAAATCACTCTCAAACCCACTGTTTACTCGTGCATAAACCAATTCTTCTTCCACTTCTTCAAATTCTTCAGTGGTGCCGAAGATCGGCGGAACAAAGGTGTTTCCAGAGAAGCAGGATTGATCGAGACTTTGTCTTTCTTCTCCATGAAGTAAGTTTTGCATAGAATTTATTAAATTCACAGTTATTAGTGGAATTTTTAATATTATCCATGATGTTACATAAAAATAATCTCTACTTTTTTTAGATTTGCAAAAAAATCTCGGTGGATTCAACTCTATTGGACTTCTTTTTCAACCCCAGATCTACTGACGGCTTCGATTTGTACGAAAAAACTCAACCATTCCTCGTTTTCAATTTGTTGATCAGATATTTGTATGATTCTGATTATGAAATTTCATTTCAATGCCGAAATGCATTATTGCTGATATTGACGGCTTCCAAGGACCTGGACTTCGTTGCGAAACATGTGGCAGAGGATGTATGTTGGTTTTTTAATTGTTTTATTTTTGATGTTTAGGTATATAAGGTTGAAGACTTTGCTGGGACGAGTGTTTAATAAACTCTCCGAAGCTTTGTACGTCAAAAATTTCCTATTGCAGCTGCAATTTGTCATTATGAACGCAAAGTGCAATAATTAAAAAAATCGCACAGTGCGATGAAGATTTTCTGCCCATTTCTTGCAGTTAACCCAATATTTTCAGTCCAACTTCTGCCCAGTTCTGGCCACCGGCCTCTCCGGATGCTACTCCCAACTCCCGTTTTTCATCTGCGAAGCCCTCCGGCTAAAAGACGACGAATTTCACAAGCTTTATATCGACGCCGATTTTGACTCCGTCGCGGAGTTAATCAACTTCCATGGGGCGTTGCTGTTTTGTAATGCAGTTGTGGGCGCCGCTCACCCGTTGGTCGCAAAAAATATTGTCAATTATTTTTATGGTGGATTCCTGGAAGAAGTTGTAAAACCTTCGTTGTTGCAAGCAAGTTTTGAAATTCTTGACCAAAATTGGCGCAAAGGTGGAGCGGAATGTTTGTTTCATATAATTTTTCACCGATTTTTTTGCCGAAAAATTTGAAAATTTTAATTTTTTAAAATTTTGGTATTCCAACTTGTTTTTTAGAGCGATATTGACAAACTGATCAGCCGAATTGCCTACTTTCATCTTTGTCTGGAGACCGTAACAGAGCCGGCGATGATCCAAACCATGCTCAAACTCCTCAGCGCCTCCGAAACAAACGTCCCGGATATGAATTTATTGGAAGTTATCCTCTACAAAATGAATCAGAATGATCGGGTATGTGCTGAATTAAGTTTATTGTGGAATTCTCAGGGTTTTCAAGGGATTTTGGAGATTTGCATGGTGTCAAAAACCGGACGACGTATTTTTCAGGAAATTTGGATAACTCTTTGGAATATTTTGGCTAGTTTGGATGGATTTTGAGCATACAGTAGATTAGAATAGTTGCTTTCGTATGCGCACTGTGAAAATTTCTAGAATTGAAGGTTTCTTGATTTTGCACGGTGCGAAAGACAAAAACCAATATTTAACAATGAAATATAGGCGAGCTTGGTAGAAGATATTGTTAAATAAGGAGGAGGAGAGTTATTGATTGTTTTGCCATATGAAGTTTGCGATTTGCACATTGTTAATCTGAGGAACTTGAGATTTTTTATTTTTTCACTGTGCTAAACTTAAATTTTTGCATTTTATAGCGAATTTAATTAGTTCTTGTCTTACTTGCAGATCATAAAGGTTGTGTATGACATATTCTTTGCAAATGGGGCAGACTTTTTGTTCTTGCACGGTGAATTTTCCGAATCTTTGAGATTTTTTGATTTTGCACTGTGCAAGGAAAAAATTTCGATTTTGGTATAAAACGAAATTATTTTTCAGCTCTGCCGAGTTGTCCTGTCTCTACTACGAACACTCTTGGAACTCAGATCCGAGGATTTTCTTTGGACCGCACTTTTCCGCTATATTCTTCCATTCATCCGCCTGAAACCGCAAAAATCCCGCTTCGAACCTCAATTAACAGTCGATGCAGCGAAAGCTTTCCTCTCTTGCATACCGGAGTGCTGTCTAAACATCCCGGAGCTCGTTTCCCAAGACGCCTTTGACGCCTACAATGCGGAGGCGTATGAATTTCTCAGGACGACCAAAAGAAATTGCTGTCAATGGAAGTTCAAGTATGACGGAGTTACCCCAAATAATTTGTTGAATCTGAATATACCCGAGGACAACATCAGTGGGCGACAGGTGGGAATTTTTGGGGATAATTTTGGATTTTTTGAATAAAATTTTTTTACTGAAAAATGAAAAGATTTCGAAAAAATATTATTTCTCATTTTTAGCCATTCACCCGCCTATCCTCTGCCAGATCTTCGATGGCCTCAAATGCATGGAATCGGTATTTTACGAACCGATCGAACCATGGAACATCCGATTCGGCGTCTCTGTATGCCCCAGACTCCGGAAGGTTCCCATTGAATCAGCTGGGAGAAGACGATTTTGTCAGCAATTTGGATACAACCTACAGTGATGAGGAAGGAAGGTTCAAGGATTTGGATCTGAGGTGAAATTTTTTGAAAATGCATTTAAAAAATTTATCGGAGCCTTGTAAACTGTTTAAAGTACTGTGTTTTGCTGTTTAAAACGGATTTTTTTACAAAGTGAAGCATGGCCCGGACATTGTTGCGGTGACCATCACCGAATTTCTTCAAATTTGGCTCATAGAAGACCCACAGGGCGTACATCGAAAGTGTCAACCGTTTTTGCGAAATTTGCATTATTCGAGGATTACTGTAACATTTTGTGTTTTGTAAAGTTTTTATTGTGATGGGCTGAGGGATGGAGCGTTGCGGATGAAACTTACCGACTGGATGTTTTCGACCATGGCCAACATTTTCCTAATTGAAATGTTTTTTATATCTCTTCATCTTTTGGTAGTACCGTAACCCTCAACATACCATATCGATTACTGCCAAAAATTGGGAAAAGTGTAACCAGTTTTTATGCTTGATTATAAAGGTTGGACACACTCTCCGTAAAATAAGACCAAAAAATCCAAAATAAAAATATAAGTTTTTGAGATATACGCGTTCAAAGTTGCTATGTTCGGTTACTGTAAGACCAAAATGGAGATGACGAATTTTCAAACGGTACCATTGATTGCCATGCCTCACCCATTAATAGACTAGCCTGAGAAAAATATTTTCAGATCAAAAAATAAATATTTGAGGCTTTATTTCAGGCTTTATACGATGGTTACTGTAGTTTCTAACTTTTGTCAATTTCGCTAACCATTTTTTTCAAATGACGTTTCCCATTGAGAAATGTGTGTACAACGTAAAAATCAAAAAATCAAGGTTACAGTACTATCAATTCTTGAAATAAAGGGAGATTACGGTAGCCGTATCCGCTTTTTTCGCTGTTTGGCCGCGGCATTCTTTGGAGCTGCTAGTGTAACCAGATTTGAGACTGGAAATTCACTCAGAATGGACAGAGGAGTATCTAACAAGGAAAGTACTTTTATGGGGGCTCCTACTTTTTGACGGGACATATCTCAAAAAATCAGAAAAAATGTGCTGATCAAGGATATATAAATCTTAGCTGCCCATTTTAGGTTTTTAGGGGTGAAAACTCAATCGGAAGTTGACTTAAAGTCCTATATGAACCCCTTTTCGCTTAATTTTTCACAGGTTTACAATTTTTATTTTGGCTTAAAATGGTGTTTATTGAGTTTCTAAGACGTAATAAGACAGTCTTGGCACAAAAATTTATTTTTCCGACCTTCAACTTCAAAAAAGGTTGATTCAGCCCAAAAGGGAAATCGAACCTGTGCGGCGTCCCCCTCTTGATTCCCAGACTACGGCACTAACCACTCGGCCACACCTCTTTCTTCCGAAGGAACAGACCGAGCGCGCTTTTTATCGTTTCGAATGCCTGCGCCTTTTGTAGGGAAATTAAGCCAGTTTTTGGGCATTTTCACCCCTAAAAACCTAAAATGGGCAGCTAAGATTTATATATCCTTGATCAGCGCATTTTTTCTGATTTTTTGAGATATGTCCCGTCAAAAAGTAGGAGCCCCCATAAAAGTACTTTCCTTGTAAGCAAAAAACCGCAAAAATAAAAATATAAGTTTTTGAGAAAATCCGGGATTACGGTCATTTTAGGGGGTTTTTGGGCCGTCCGGCCGCGGCATTCTTTGGAGATGCTAGTGTAACCAGATTTGAGACTGGAAATATCTTCAGAATATACAGGGGAGTATTTTAGCAAAAAATAGCAAAAATAAAAATATAAGTTTTTGAGAAAATCCGGGATTACGGTCATTTTAGGGGGTTTTTGGGCCAAATACTCCCCTGTATATTCTAAAGATATTTCCGGTCTCAAATCTGGTTACACTAGCATCTCCAAAGAATGCCGCGGCCGGACGGCCCAAAAACCCCTAAAATGACCGTAATCCCGGATTTTCTCAAAAACTTATATTTTTATTTTTGCGATTTTTTGCTAAAATACTCCTCTGTCCATTCTGAGTGAATTTCCAGTCTCAAATCTGGTTACACTAGCATCTCCAAAGAATGCCGCGGCCAAACGGCCCAAAAACCCCCTAAAATGACCGTAATCCCGGATTTTCTCAAAAACTTATATTTTTATTTTTGCTATTTTTTGCTAAAATACTCCCCTGTATATTCTGAAGATATTTCCGGTCTCAAATCTGGTTACACTAGCATCTCCAAAGAATGCCGCGGCCGGACGGCCCAAAAACCCCTAAAATGACCGTAATCCCGGATTTTCTCAAAAACTTATATTTTTATTTTTGCTATTTTTTGCTAAAATACTCCCCTGTATATTCTAAAGATATTTCCAGTCTCAAATATGGTTACACTAGCAGCTCCAAAGAATGCCGCGGCCGGACGGCCCAAAAACCCCCTAAAATGACCGTAATCCCGGATTTTCTCAAAAACTTATATTTTTATTTTTGCTATTTTTTGCTAAAATACTCCCCTGTATATTCTGAAGATATTTCCGGTCTCAAATCTGGTTACACTAGCATCTCCAAAGAATGCCGCGGCCGGACGGCCCAAAAACCCCCTAAAATGACCGTAATCCCGGATTTTCTCAAAAACTTATATTTTTATTTTTGCTATTTTTTGCTAAAATACTCCCCTGTATATTCTGAAGATATTTCCGGTCTCAAATCTGGTTACACTAGCATCTCCAAAGAATGCCGCGGCCGGACGGCCCAAAAACCCCCTAAAATGACCGTAATCCCGGATTTTCTCAAAAACTTATATTTTTATTTTTGCTATTTTTTGCTAAAATACTCCCCTGTATATTCTGAAGATATTTCCAGTCTCAAATCTGGTTACACTAGCATCTCCAAAGAATGCCGCGGCCGGACGGCCCAAAAACCCCCTAAAATGACCGTAATCCCGGATTTTCTCAAAAACTTATATTTTTATTTTTGCTATTTTTTGCTAAAATACTCCCCTGTATATTCTGAAGATATTTCCGGTCTCAAATCTGGTTACACTAGCATCTCCAAAGAATGCCGCGGCCGGACGGCCCAAAAACCCCCTAAAATGACCGTAATCCCGGATTTTCTCAAAAACTTATATTTTTATTTTTGCTATTTTTTGCTAAAATACTCCCCTGTATATTCTAAAGATATTTCCAGTCTCAAATATGGTTACACTAGCATCTCCAAAGAATGCCGCGGCCGGACGGCCCAAAAACCCCCTAAAATGACCGTAATCCCGGATTTTCTCAAAAACTTATATTTTTATTTTTGCTATTTTTTGCTAAAATACTCCCCTGTATATTCTGAAGATATTTCCAGTCTCAAATCTGGTTACACTAGCATCTCCAAAGAATGCCGCGGCCGGACGGCCCAAAAACCCCCTAAAATGACCGTAATCCCGGATTTTCTCAAAAACTTATATTTTTATTTTTGCGGTTTTTTGCTTAGATACTCCTCTGTCCATTCTGAGTGAATTTCCAGTCTCAAATCTGGTTACACTAGCAGCTCCAAAGAATGCCGCGGCCAAACAGCGAAAAAAGCGGATACGGCTACCGTAATCTCCCTTTATTTCAAGAATTGATAGTACTGTAACCTTGATTTTTTGATTTTTACGTTGTACACACATTTCTCAATGGGATAGCTGGTCTAAATGCGTCATTTGAAAAAAATGGTTAGCGAAATTGACAAAAGTTAGAAACTACAGTAACCATCGTATAAAGCCTGAAATAAAGCCTCAAATATTTATTTTTTGATCTGAAAATATTTTTCTCAGGCTAGTCTATTAATGGGTGAGGCATGGCAATCAATGGTACCGTTTGAAAATTCGTCATCTCCATTTCGGTCTTACAGTAACCGAACATAGCAACTTTGAACGCGTATATCTCAAAAACTTATATTTTTATTTTGGATTTTTTGGTCTTATTTTACGGAGAGTGTGTCCAACCTTTATAATCAAGCTTAAAAACTGGTTACACTTTTCCCAATTTTTGGCAGTAATCGATATGGTATGTTGAGGGTTACGGTACTACCAAAAGATGAAGAGATATAAAAAACATTTCAATTAGGAAAATGTTGGCCATGGTCGAAAACAGTCACACAAAAAGTTTTGGACTCATAGAACCATCAGCCGGCCCACAACCAACGCCACTTTATAAAATACAAAATGTTACAGTAATCCCGGAATGGATGAAATTTCGCGAAACCCTTCTTCGCTTTTTATCAGCATGCCCAAGCCCTTCTACTGGCCTAGTTTCAAGAAATTTGGTGATGGTCGTTGCAACAATGTCCGGGCCCCTTGGAGGGAAGCTTCAGTTTGTAAAAAACTCTGTTTTAAATCATTTGCGATAGCTAAAGCAAAATGCCAAAATTGGCGGGAAGTTCAAAAAAATTTGAATTTTTATACGATTTTTTTCGAAATTTTGAGATAAAAAATTTTTATGTTTAAATCATGTTTTCAGCAACGAAGAAGACCCAAATGAGATGTTCACTTCCAATTACGAACTCATGACCCAATCCCACATTGATTATTTCCAATTTGCATACGACGGAGCTTCCGAATCGGACGGGACTTCGAGAAAAAATTCGGTGAAAAGCGAGGAAAAGGAAGAAATAAAAGCAATGGGAACACCGTTGGAGCCGGCGAAATTGGAATTGATCAAGGCAATAAACGAAAAAGACTGGAGGGAGCTGAAAGAGGTGAGTTTTGAGATGTTGGTATTTGATTTTTTTGTGAAATGTTTTACTTTTTATTTAATTTTTCGCCTTTTTCTTCTAGAATATCCCCGAATTTACCTCCACATTGAAGTCAATTCCACTGACAAACAAGAATTTGGCCAGTCAGACCGTCGACGAAGCCATGGACCTGATCAACGCCCGTTTTCAGCACGTTTACGAGCTAAAAAACGAGTTGGAAGCAATAGAAAATGAGCGAAAACTGGTCGGAAATCCCTTGAAATTGGATCTAAATTTGTCGAATAACAAAAACCAGCCGCAGGGAGGCTTGCTGATGACCTGCACCACCGAAAAAGGCGCTGGATATCTGTATGAGGCCTTGATCACGTGCCTAGAACGACTGGTCGAGCATGGAATCACGACCAATGTTCAATTGGCACTCGTGTTTGAAGTCTTAACTTCATATCCGCAGCCGGTTCTGGAGACTTTGGTGTTGTATTCAGACGTCATGAAGACACCATTTTTGCCAAGAATTGTTCGAGTCCTGGAGAAACTGAAGATGCAGATTGATGCTTTTGCCACCAGCATCGATAATTTTGAGGAATATGTGAAAAGAGGAGCCAAACATCGGTGAGTTTGGAGATGAAAATTGAGATTTTAACGATTTTTTGAGCAAACAAATTGGCCGGAATTCGCTATAATAGAAATCGTTTTCAAAGGGAGATATTTGAAGTTTTCGACGTGAAAACGTGGGATTTTGACGAAACTGGGGAAAGACTTCGGATTAAAATTTGACAAGACATACGGCAGATTTTTCATCTCACAATTTCCAGAAATCATCGAGATTTTTAGATGAAAAATTGGCAGAAATTTTATGCTTTTTTGAGTTTTTCAATGTAGAAAAGTCACGTTTTATTCGAGGTATCAGCTATTACGTCAAAGAGAATGTGAATTTTCCGTTTTTGAAAAACGAAGGAGCATCAAGGTTGTGTCAATTTTTGATCGAAAAATCTCGATGATTTCTGGGAATTGCGAGTTAAAAATCTGGCATATGTCGTAGCAAATTTTAATCCAAGTCTTTGTCCGCTTTCGTCAAAATCGCGCATTTTATGACCAACAATTCGACCACGTTTAATATGTCATATTAACTCACGGGATGTTCCAAATTTGCCGTGTTTCAGTTCCAACCTCACGAACAGCTATCGCCGAGGGATGGGTTCGGGTCGTTCGACCTTCCGCCACACATTGATCGTCAAGGAACTGAGCGAAGCCGACCAGCAAAGGACCAAACACTTCGCTTATGCGGCTATAATTCTCTCCCAAATATGCCAACTTCTCGCCGCAAACGCTCTACAACATACACCAACTTATTCTGTTGATGGCTGAGGCTTTGAGTCGATGAAATTTTGGGTTTTGTTGATGAAGTTCCACATTTTTTCGCAACATTATTTTCACTTATTTTGTCTATCAAAAAAAATGGACACTTTTCTTTCTTCGATTTCTCTTGGCTTTGAATGTTTTTCGGAAAAAGGTACACATGGCATGAAACTACTATGTTATGTGTACATATTCATTGCAAAAATTGCTCACTAGCTGCAAAAGTTGCCGAGATATGGTTGCTTAAAAATTGCCGGGTCAGCGCGCCTATTCCCGCGACGAAATTTGGAAAGTTTTCGTTCCTAAATGTCTTAAGGGTGTGACAGAGACGTTCTGAGCGGCCTCAGTGAAACACAGACATCTATTCTCGAGGACCTAATAAGGATTTAATCCAGGTCTTTCAGACATTGAAAAATCAGAGACCAAAAGTTAGACAACCAGCGAGGTAAAATCAACGCTCATTTGGGCGGTTTTACAAAAACTTAGCTCTGCCGAACGTGGTCAAAGTTTTTGAACCAATTCCATTTACACCACGTTTACTGCTCTATTGTGAGTATATTAAACGCATTTGTAACAACAGTACCCTTAAATTGGCAAAACTGCAAACAAAATTTCGTCTTTTTTGACTTTTTGATGGGTCATCGCAATGATACTTGGATTCTGAAGGCTAGGTTTGTTCAAATTAACGGAGACCAATTTAGAATTGAAGAACGGACTTATATCACCAACGTATAAATGCAGCTTGTCATAGTTATGCGGCTTGTTGAAGAAAGCCAACGAAAAAGTAAAATTTTTCTGGTCAAAAAATAATGGCGTCTCTGGGTAGAGCCGGCTAAACTTTTATAAGCCCAGTACATGGCTAATGCTAGCTATAATCAAATCAACTGCTAACCCATGTAAAGCAATGTTAAATGTGTTACAGGAATTACTTTTTGCCGTTATTAGCACAAGCCAGGCCGCCCTGCAAAGTTTTGAAACCCGATCATCCCAAAAACCCAGAACTACGCGGATAAGTCTCTTGTGGATCACGTTGCGAACTGTTGGAGCGTTATTAATAGAATAATATCAGCGTTTTCGCTTCTCTAGATTCCCCTTAGTATCTTAATAAACAGTCAACACGCAGTTTTTAGCTGGCTGCAAGAATTCAGGCCGTTAAAGATTTTTGGACCTACAAAATTTTTGGAAAATTTGGTAAGAATATGGGCTGACCTAGTATTTTGGCTCGTACAACCCATTCAGCAAAAATATTTTAAAAATTGAAATAGGTGTCATGCAGCAGGATCGTTGACGATTGTAAAAATATTTTTCTTTCCACCGACTGCGGCATTCGTGGTGGGATACACCAACTTCAAAAGTTGTCCATTTTTTTTGAATCACCCTGTATTTTGAGCCTATTCGTTTATGTGATCCTTTTCTAGTCCATTTTTGAAAAACGCTACGATAAACCTAATTTGTCTGTTCATGACTGATATTTCATAACGTTGAGAGATTCATGAATAAACCGTCATAATTCCAATCAGAAGATCTTTGAAGAACTTTATGTGAATTTCAAAGCAAATTTTTGATAAGGCTTTTTGAGTTTTTGCCGCTATTTTTTGCATCACCACACCTTATTTTTGCGACATTTTATACTACAGGGTGTCCCAAAAAAAATGCATGTTTTTTTATGGCTACATTTTACATACCAAACAAAATTTAACAAAACTAACGATGGATATCAGTAACATAGAGGATTATTGATAACGTGTCAAGCCAGTTTCACAGTGGCTGCCTTTGGTGGCGATATAGAGCTCCAAACGTAACTTAAAATTTTGGGCTCGGGGCCGCAGCTGTTTTCGGGGAAATCGGTCCCGTTCTTGGCGCAACGATTGCTTTGCGACTCCAAACATTTGTGGCATGTAGTACAGGCGTTGGCCTCCAATTTAAAAAAATTTTTGGTCCATCGGATTCAGATCCGGCTCGCCGACGGCCATTTTGCAGACGGGATAAAATCGGGAAAATCGGTCCCATTCCGGGTCCTGAGTTGATTTTGCCTTGTGAGCCGGCGCTGAGTCTTGTTGGAACGCCAAATTTGCATTGCCAAGGTTCTGCTAAGTCAACAGAAGTACGAGAAAATCAAGATTAACGCGGCGCTAGAATTTTGCCCCCTTGATCCGCGAAAACCATAGAATTCTTGCCGCTGGCACAAATTCCGCCTTAGGCAATGACGGCCCGGATTTTGACGGTTTTCGACGTTAGCCGACATGCCGAGGGCCTCATCTAAAGATCCTATGGTACTGGTGGTTGTGCAGCCGCCAAATATTGAACCACGAACTGAATGCGCTCACCCCTATGAGTTGCGGCCCAGCCCTTGACTTTCCGGCATTTTTTGCGCCGCACGCACTTGCCGTCAACTTTAAAGATCTGAGCTTTTGACAGCTTATACAGCGTAACGCACAGCTCATCATAAACTATTCGGGTGACCGATCGGTCGCTGATGCCGATCTCACAGGCAAAATTTTCTTGAAAATAGCGTTTTGCTGTTGGTGATCTCCCGGTTGACAGAACCGCTGGCGGTGCGTTTTGCTTTACGTCCTGGACGCTTACTATCGTTATCAAGCTCCTTACATCGCGTGATTACTTTTGACACAACGTCCTTTCTATACTGGGCAAATTTACAACTTGAACGGCTCAAAAATAGTGACAAAATCGCAGTTCCTTTGTTTGACATCTTAAAAAACCATGCTACTTAATCGATATGAACACAAAACTGAAATGACTAGGGCAGAAAAACACGGAGATTTTAGCCGTACAAAAACCTTTTGGCCTGACCTAAACATTTTCGCGTCAGGACCCATGGAAAAAAACATGCATTTTTTTTGGGACACCCTGTATTTACTGTGCTTGAAAGTTTTACTGTCAACTTTTTAGTGTTGCAGTAATTCTGGTTATCTTTCAGGCTTTGTGGCGGGGTTTTCTGCCGTATTCCCAAAAGATAAATCTCCCCCAAACAGTCTTGCAAAACACGGTCCCATGATTTGCTACGAAAACAACCTGCAACCTCCGCGTATGCGTTGATGTGTAAATTCGGACTTGCTCTCGATTACTCATCGATATTTTTGTCCAACAAATCCAGTCTATAAATTGTCAATCCTCCCCCATCGAGAGCTATTCAAATAAATTCACACCCCCAGGCGGTGTAAATTTAGTTGCAGCCTCCGAAGAAAGTTAGTTGATTCGCTATATCGTCACTCCACTCCCGACGCGTGTTTGGCCAGCTTGCGGGCCCAGTTTTGTAACTAAAATACCACAATACTATTAGCAGAGGCGCTTACAGAACTCGACGTTTATTTGAATCTTTAGTTTGCCCATGTGGACGTGGCGGCAACTCGAATGAACAAATGTAGGCTAGGGATTGGAAACGCGGGGCTTTAGTTTGTTTTGTGCAAATTAACCAAGAATACGGATGATTGTTTGAGTGAATAACTGAGCTTTGGGACTTTTTTTGAGGATATTAATTTAGGGATGGACTTGAATTTTAATTCAATTTCTGAATTTTTGTTAAGTACCATTGTAATTCATGTTACTACATCTTCCACAAAATCTCCGAGAGGCCCGTTTTACACTATTTTTTCTTTGCACAGTGCGTTTTTTCATCTTTTTTATCGCATTGTAAAAAATAGTTTTATCAAATTTTGCACTGATTGTGAGCAAAATTGATAATTTGAAATAAAAAATGTAATAATTAAAAAACCCTCTCTACAGAATTTATTAATGGCAAAGTTCATAAGGAAGCCTTCCAAAAACTTTGCTGATTTCAAAAATGTATGTTTCTCACACTGCACTGTACAGTCATAAGATTTTCATTTTCCGTACAATGCATTTAAAAGTGAAATTACAAAGCATTTCCAATGTCAATCTTTAGTCTCATCAAAGCCAAAATACAAGAAGCCTAGCTTTAAAGTCTCAGCGTCCGTCTTAAAATTACAAAAAAGCCGTTTTTCGTCCCGGATCTGGAATCAAAATTTTTTCGCCGACTTTTCAAAAACAATTAGCCCACAAATTCCCCTTGTTTTTTGTTCGCAACGAACTCTTCGACCGATCATTTTGATTGTCTTAAGCGGTCGCGGCCGACGGTTGAAAGGGGCCTTGTTTTGTAGACAAGGTTTTTATAAAATACTGGACTTTTGAGAGGATTTTTGGAGATAGTACACTTTCCTGGTCTTTTAGGATTGATTTTGGGAAAATAACAGTACTTTTTGTTGACATAAAGGTCTGTTTTTTAGCTCAATGTTTTGAATGGCAACAGAGGAAGTTCTAGAAGCGAAACGTTCAGTTTTTGATGCTTGGCATGTATAATACATAAGGTGAATTCTTCTAGGATATGCGATGTATAGCTCGCCTTTTGAGGTGACCACCGATGTTTTTAGACCGAAAGTTGTTAATAATTTGACTCTTATACAATTTTCTCCCCTAAAAGTTCGGGCTTATTTCTACCGGAGAAGGAAATGTCTCTACAAAAAATCTTTTCCTGCCACGCAGAAATTACAGAACGATATGCCCAAAATACGGTTTTTACATTGACCTCTCTCCAAATTTTTTGTGCTTTTTCGGTGGCAAAAGTTATTGCGTAATTAGACTTTCTCTGCAAACCGAAAGCAAAAAAAAATTTTTTTGGGATTTTTATAACATAACCTTTCGAGAACGAACAAAATTTAGATTTTGAAATTTCAAAAGAAAAAAAAAACATGTAAGCCTTTGCTACACTGCATTTTTTGAATTGTTTTTTGTCGCCACAAAAGGCTTCAATTCCTCAACCAGCTCCGAAATTACCATGCAAGGCCTTGCAACAAACTTGGCTCCCTTCACGAGAGTCGTTGATTGAATTTGCAGTTGCATTTTGACTACTATAATTTTTGGTGCTACTCATTTTCGCTTCGCTGCGTTTTGATGAAGCCGAAAAAGCGGCCGCGAGTGCCGAGAGAGTAGAGTGCCGGAGGCTATGTAACAAAGAAACCTGGCTAGACATTGCAAAAAAAAAGAGAAAAAAAAATTTTTTTGGAATTTTCTTGGAGTTCAATTTTTCGGCCCAAAAATTTATTATTTTTTCGCTTCCAACGGGAGAGAAGGAAGTGGAGGGAGATGTAGTTTTTAATTGTGAATGGAAGGAATGCAACAACGCATGCGTTTTTTGACTTCTTTAGCTAATTTTTTGGGCTTTGGTGGATTACGGCAATTTTTAAAATGCATTGGAAGCTTGTTGAAATTGCGTTTTAAGACAGGTGAACTGTTTTCCAAAAGCTTTTGTTAGTTCCGGGTCTAAATAAATGTCAAAAAAAGGTCTTTTTCTTGTTTTTTTTAAATTTTTACATAATTTTAGCTTTTTTTAAGTGAAAAGATTGCCCCAATCCAACTGTCACCATCGCAATCTACCCTAAAAATTTCATAAGTTATGAGATTTCCAATTTATGACAATTTTGCAATGCACAGTGCAAAAATAAAATTTTTTTGTTTTTGCACAGTGCGTCCCAAAACAAAATATTTCTTTGCAGTGCATAAGAAAGAGTAGTAAAAGGAGTTTACAATATGATGAGCTGATCTACCACATTTTTTATTACCAGTTACACAGTGCAAAATTGAACTTCTTCCATTGCACTGTGCAGAAAATTTGGAAAAATACTGTAGCTTTACAACGACAAACTCTGCTGCACGGTTTATTTTTCAATTTGTAAAATACGCTTAGCCTACTTTATTCCTGCAAAATATTGAGTTGTTTCGATTGCATAGTTCAGAAATAAAAGATCTAATTTTTTGCACTGTGCGGAAATAAAAAATGCGGGTTACAAAAAAATTTATATGCAATAAGCCTTAATTTGTAAAATGCTATGTGTATAAATTGCCCTGGAAAATATTTGTTACCATTGCACAGCGCAAAAACAAAAGGAATGTGATTTTATTAGGAGTGTAAGGAGAATGAAGGGCTGCCGTCATAAGGTGCAAAATTATTTCCGATTATTTTTTGTTTTGATGTGGTTAAATGAATAAATGACTTTTCCTTTTTTTGCACAGTGCAAAATTTTATTTTTCCTCTTGCACTGTGCAGAATACAAATTTTTCCAAACTACACTGATGAAAAAATGAACGTGTCAAGAAGTTGTTTCAGAGCATCATTCAATTTCTTCCGATTGGATGACGCATTTTCTACAATGTTTTTTCAACTTTTCACTCCCTTGCCCCGCTAATTATTCCCCTCTTTTTCGGCAATCCACGAAACACTACTACGTAAGGGCAGGCGAATCTGTTTACAATCGAGTTCCAAAAATTTTTATGCAGCACGGCTAATCTCGGGCGCCCTGCCTCCCGATAACAAAAGCCCGCTGGGCCGCGGGGCTAATGAAGGGAAAAAGCGGCCGGCTTTTTCATTACAGCTACTGCTTAGGCGTATGAATTGGTTTTTTGGGTCCAATTTTTAAGCGGAACCAAAAATTGGGGCAAAAAGTGGCAAGTCGAGTTTTGTGACAAGCGCCCGCCGGGCATATGCGTGTAGACTTTTTCGAATACAGTGGCGGGAATCGGGAAAATTGAGGAAGGGCTGGGCCGGTTCTTTAAATTTTTTTATGCGTGGGAATCATGCGATTTTGTTGCAAAAAATTTGAAAAATTTGCCAGAGTTAACACATATATTTTGAAAAAATAAAAAAAAAATGGTAGAGTAAAAAGAGAGAGAGTTTTTTAAAATGCAAAATTTCCATCAATATGTTAATCTGTCGGGAAAAAAATGAGGACAATTTCGCGGCGCCGGTTGCATAGCTGAGGCGAAAAGAAATCTGATTTTGCCGCGACTCAATTTTTTTGATGCGACAAAGTGATGATTATTTTACCGACAGACTGATATTGTAGTCTTTTTAAACAAAAAAATATTTTCTTTCTTCAAAAAAAAATCAGTTTTTGTGAATTTTTAAATTAGCCTTTTTTATTTCACAAATTTTTATTTTTCGATCCTAAAGAAACTCTTTTATTTCCCGTTCCTCCGATTCCAATATCGAACATTTCCCCATTTATCACCCCAACGTCTGGCCGAGAACTTGTCCTCGCAATCTTATGGCAAATCTGTTGGCCCAATGCTTATTTACAGCCGCGAAAAGCGATGCTGTTACAGCGCGGCGGTTTTATGAGGGCATATGCTTATAAGAAAAGACAGTGTCGACAAAAATTAGCCGATTTTTCGGGGCTGTTTTGATGATTTTTGAAGATTTTTTGGGGTTTCGACACTTTTCATCAATTTTTTCGGGATTTTTTTTATCTGAAAATTCTTTAATTTTTAATTGTGATAACGTTTCGGAAATTTTTTTGCCATTTTTGTCAAGAAAATCGATATTTCTAGCTCAAAAATTGCCAAAGAATAGGTTTTCTTTTCCAAATCAGCTTTCTGATGCAGTCTGGAACTCTATTTGTTCACTAAAATTTCAAGTTTTTTTACAGTTTTTCCTCGTTTTACATAGTCTCTCGTATGAATATTGTCAAATATGATGGCTATTTCTGCTTAGAGCGAGCTAAAATTTTTACTGATTTTTCTATGACCCAAACATATAGTTAACATGTAAAATTTCAGGAAAAAAGAATGTGAGCATCTCTAATAACTTGGGGTTCTCTTAAACATCTTTTGTAGCCTCAAAAAACATCCTTCCCCAAATCCCGCTAAAATCCTTGATTTATTATAATTTTTCGCCCAATTACTCTACTATTTTCCACACAATGCCACCTTTTCCAAGCCCTTTTCCAGGTCACGTCGGGCTTTTCGTCGTTGACCCTGAAGACTGCTCCAGATGTCCATTCGCGGCGAGGAATCTGGAGGCTCAATTAACGCCGCTATTGACCCGGATCGGGGCTTTTGTATTCGAATACTTAAGGGATGGTATTGAACTCTTCTTTACTCTTCTTCAAAGTATTTAAAAAAATTTCGAATCCGCAAAAAATCCGAGAATTTTTTTCCCCAAAAAATCCCGAAAATTGCAGGTCATGTGGTGGGAGGAGGGGAGAGCGCCGGCTCTTTATTTTCTCGGTTACGCAACCAGTCTCTTCTTCGCCGCTTCCGGCCCTACTGTAACATCAAAAGTAACATATGTTTTTGGCGCGGAGGGGCAAAAGAGGCCGTCATGGAGAGTGTAATGGATGTTTTGGGCAAAAGATGCGGTAATCGGTCTGCGATTTTGGCTTTGATCAGAAATTCGTGGAGTCTCGGGATTTAGTGAGCGATTTTTGAGAGGAAAGTCATCGAAAGGTGATTATTTTTGCTACCTTAAAAAAATTTGTAGCTCAAAAATTTCATTCAAACAGCAAGGTTACATTTGTCGTATTTTACATGTTTTTTGTTTGTTTGGGGAAATTTTTAAATTCGATAAAAAGCTTATTTTGCTCTACGTTTTCTCAAAATTTGATTTTTTATATAGCCAGAAAGTGCAAACCTCGCAATCCACTCAAATTTTGCAGATCGCAGACGCACTCTGTGGAATTCTATTAGTATTTTTGCCGAAATTTCAAATCACAATTACACTTTACTATTAGTATTTTCATAAAGTGCACGTACATTTGTCTCGGCTTGCACCAAAAACAACCGATTTTGCACGGTGCGTTTAGCTTTTTTTGTGGTTTCGCACTGTGCATCGAAATATCGCTGCGGCGTCGCCAGGAATTTGCACAGTGCAAAAGGGTTTTTGAGGTTTGCAGTGTGCGAAGAGAGAAAAATGCACTGTGCGTTGGCGACAAGCGTGGGAAAAAGTTCAAAATGCACTGTGCATTGGCGACAAGCGTGGAAGTTCAAAACGCACCGTGCGGAACATGGAAGACATTTGTCACGGCCCGCACCGTGCACAAAAGACTCCCGATTTTTTGCACCGTGCACTCAGCTTTTTTTTATTTTGCACAGCTTTTTTAAAAAGATATTAGAATTTAAATTTTCAATTGAACTTCAAAAGAATTGCAATTTTATTCCATCGTATTTTACCCAATTTATATTTGTTTTATTACTTATAACATCAAGTCTAATATAATATTTTGCTCGCTTGATCTTCCCCCTTCCACATCCTATGTTTGCCCAATTTGAACAAAAGCCCTCCTCTCCATTTTTGCTCATGTACTTTCGGAAGTGTTGCCTTTATACCGTCCCCCCTTTCTTCCATTTCCTTTTGTGGACCGCGCACCAAAGTCATTAGTCAAGGCGAGTGGAGGGAGTGTATGGGGATTTGAAGCGCCACGACGGAGGTCAAGAAAAGCCAAGTCGAGGAAAAAGCCCGGTAAAATACGCCTTGCTATTGACTATTCCTTGACTATGAAAAAAATACAAAATTCAAGATAATCAAAAAAAATCGAACATAAAACTCGGTAAAAATTGGATGACTCTTATTAGTAAAGTACATAGACATTTTTCTGTCTTGCACAGTGCATTCCTGGCACCAGGAATACGTTGTTGGAGACCCTTGCTTACGTCGCAGCGATATTTCGATGCACAGTACGAAAACCAAAAAAAAAGGTGAAATGCACGGTGCAAAATGAGAATTTCTGTGCACTGTGCGCACCGTGACTAATGTCCATGCACTTTATGAAGCAACTAATGCGTAAACAACATCTTTCGAGCAGTAGAGGCACAAAACTTCTTTTCTTTGCATTGATTTCTTGCTATTCATATTGCTTTATGTTACACTTGACCCCAACTCACTCGGCTAATCTCTTTGGCTCATTAGGAAGTGCTGATCGCTCGATCCACGTGTTTGTCGAGACCCTCTACAATAGAAGTGAGACCAATTCTTTTCCTCGTTTTTGTGGACACTGTCCGGCCGTGTTTGCACACAAAATAATATAATGGACACCCGTGGAAGGAGGAAGAAGGTAATGGCCTTTTGTGTTGACATCCGTTGACATGTCAACCCAGCGCGAAAGGTTTAACACACTTTGCGCAAGCATTTACCTCAATGTTTGCGAGGGAATTTTTCTGAAGGATTACTGTGGCTTTTGGTAGATTTTGGATTAGTTTTCAGGGTTACTGTTACCTTTGAAGTGATTTTGGGAATTTGAGGGTAACAGTAACCTTTTGACCAAACTTACGGTATATTAAGGTTACTGTAGCATCATGGTTAACTGCCGTAGCTTTTGGAACAGTTTTGGGAATTTTGAAGATACTGTAATCTTTGGGTGGGTTTTAGAATTTGGGGGTTACTGTAACTTTTTGACCAAATTTATGGTTGAAAAAGATTACGAAAGCTTTTGAGAGATATTTTTAGAGATTTTGAATTACTGTACAAGTTTCAAAATATTTCTGTTTACTGTAATTTTTTGTAAAATTTTCCAAAAATGGCCTAAAAAATATTATTTTATTTTTAAATCTGATATAGTCTTCTTTTAACTAAGCTTGCGGAAAATTGTAATCCAGTAGTGCCTAGTCTACGGGAGGTAGAGGGCAACTAGATAAGATCAACGGGGAATAAGGCCCGGATCGACGTTACAATAGCCAACTGGGATATAGCAAGTATATTTATCCAGCAAACGTCACGATAGCACACAATACAACGACAACGTGGATGGTCTCGGGTAGTCGGAGGAGGACGAGGGAGTCGACCGTCCACCGAGCCGGAGAGTCCAATTGAATGAATGAGATCCACCGAATCGCGCGAAGTCGAGCGGTCGGAACGGATTGTCACGTAGAGCGGTTGATCATGGGAAACTCGGGGAATCGGTCGAGAATAGCTTGGATTGACGGACCATCGGGGTGCCGCTGGTCCTACTCGCCCCCCTCATATGTGATGACGTCCCGACATCAAAACCTGAAAATAAATGAAATTAAAAAGCCCCTAAACAATACCTGGATAACCCTACAACCTCCCCCCTATCCGTCAAACGACGTCTCGGCGTTTCAGATGGATGTGTTGTGTCTGAAAGCGCGAAGTGCCATAGTTCTGACAACAAATCGGTGTGAAATAAATAAATGGTCGAAGCGCGGACCAAGAAAGCAAATACCTTCGACAAGACGCAACGATAAACGGCAACCGGTACAATAATTTCAAGGAAATATTGGTAAACCAACAAGCTTGACCAAAAGATCGGTCGAGCATTCGCATTGAACCTCGATCTCTGGTATCTTGATACCACTTTCTCATTCAAAATTCGATTTGAATACCAAGGGAAATTTGCGGAACTGGAATCACTCTTTTCTTGAGCCACAATTTCGTTGATGGAAGCTGTCTTGAACTTGCAACCTTTTCCCCGAAAAGCTGGCGCAGACGTTGCGTTTTCGGTATTGCGAGAGTCCAAAATTCTCTCTTTGCGATCTGCATCACTGTAAGAGGACCAATCAAAGTAACATGAGTCTTTCAGATACTCAAAACCATCGGTACGCGCAGGTACAATGTCTTTCTTCAGCCATTTTTGGTTCATAGTCCATGACTTGAACATAGAATTCTCCAATATGTCAGGGAAATCGACGTTGTTTTCATTCTTGACTTTGGTCCAAGATGAGAAGACGGTTCCAGCCAAGTCTGGGGTGAAATCGGTCTCTTTTCCATCTCCTGAAGCTTGGGTGTCCTCTTCAAATAAGGTCTCGAAATTCCAAATTTCTTCTTCCAAATTAATTTTCACAGCATTTTGAGATTGGATGAATCTCAGATTCTCCTCTTCGAGTTCTTGCCTTCTCCGCTCTGATTTCTCGATCAAACCCTTGACGAAGTTGACGGTATAAGCATCCAAGTTAGCCTCATCGATATTCGCTTTCTGAGATCGATCGGTACTGGAAGGTTCAGTAGGAAGATGAACTTCGTTTGAATTCACAAGCTGATCTTGATCAGGGATTGAAATTTGAGGAAGAATTGGTTGAAGGTAACCACCTTGCTGTTGGAGTTGAAATTGTCTGTACGCTTCATCTTGCGACAGCAATTTTGGTGGAAGGACAACATCCATGTTGGGTGATATCGAGAGTAATTGCCGATCAAATTCAGCGGAATGCGCTAACTGAGCTGAAAGGATATCGTTGTACCTTTCCTCTTCTGGCAGGTTATTAACTTCTTCAGTCCTTTCAATAACCAAAGGAGAAGACTCGGTGGCTAACCGGTGACTGTCCAGATCCGAAGTTTCTTCAGAAATTTGAGGTTCGGTGTCCGCGTTCTGTATAATCGGAGGATTGTATGACACAATGTGGGAAATTGTTGGATCGCTTTGACTCTGGGTAGACAAATTCAGATTGATCGGGGCAGAACTCGGAATTTTTCTGATCCTTTTCCTTTCCTGGTCAGCTTTTACATTGCACTGAGCTGGATTGTGGTAGCCTCTGTGACAATAGTTACACAACTGGCGCTTTTTATGACCCGGGACCATGCGCTCTTTTACAGTCCGGGTCTCTGAAAACCCTGGTTCCCTTCGTTGGACCTGTTGTTTTCAGAAAAATTTCTAGGACCTTGATCATTGCCCTGGGCTTCTCTCTGATTGAGATTGAGCTGTTGTTGAGGATGAGAATTGTCTCGATTTCCAAATCCGATTCCTTGTTGAGGGGAAGGACGGGTGTACTGAACAGATTCTGCTCTGATAGCTACATTGACCATAGCTTGGTAGGACAGGTCCACGCACCGTGCTGACGACAATGCCAATTGGACATCCCGACTATTGACTCCAGCCAAGAACTTCTCAACTGCCATTTTTTCAAGTGTAAGGCCATCGACAGTTGGGAAAGCTTTGAGGGTGATGTCGTACACCTTGTCTGCAAACTCTTGGATAGGCATACCAGGACGACGAATTAGTGGCTTGATGAAGTCAGCCGTAAAATTCTTGGCCCCAGATACTCTGTTCTTCATTTGTCTTTCGAAATCCTCCAGTAGAACATCGAATGGCACGTCTCCGAGTTGTCTCCTGGAACGTTCAAAGAGGCTCAACGCTGAGTCAAAGAGTTTGGACAACAAAACGCTTTCTCTTTGAACGGCAGTGAGGGTCGACGAATTCAAGCGAAAAGTGATAAAGAATTTTTCGACATCAGCAGGTTTTTCTCGACCCGTCAGCTTTCCGAGGATACTTTGAAGATTATACAACTGAAACTGTGCAGCAAATGGGGTAATATCGGCTGGGATAGCGGGTTTAGGGACGACAACCGGCGTTTGAGGTTGAGGTTTGCTAGCGAGGAGCTCTTGGAGTTGTTCTTGAACCGCAGCTATGGTGGAGGTCAAGGTCGCGCTTTCACCCGCAGCCGCTTCCGCCTGGTCTAACCTAGCGTCTAGAGAAGCGAACGTGGTCTTAATTCTGTCCACTGCTTCTGCTAGCTTCCCAATATCACTCATATTGTCGCCAGCCATCTTTATCTAAAGACAGAACACACAAAATCAAATTCTTACTTGTTGATCTTGGAGAAGTTTTTGCCGCTGGGAAGACAATCAACTTCGTTTTGGACCGGTCTGCTTGATCTAGTTGTCTGAAAATAACAACTGAAACTCAAAATACAAAATTTGAGCACGACACGGACAAAACACGGAGATTCTGCAAAGGAGAATCCGATCGAATACAAAATAACCTCGTAAAATACGATAGAAATCAAGTAATTTCGATGAAACGAAGTCACAACACGAATAAAATTCAATGAGGGACAGCAAAATTATCAAAACCTGCGAAAGGCCGATATTATACTAGGTATCTGATCGATAAACCTAGAAAAAGGTTGGATTTCGGGTAGAAATCGGTTTGAAATTGGGTAACAAAGGTACCACAATTTCTCAAACACAGGAAACTGAGTTTCTGCTGCGTTGCCAACCAAAAGTTGGGAGGACAACACGATTCTTTGAAGTGAAAAACTTCAAATTTGATCCAAGTCGCCGAAAGCGGGAGTTGGATCGCCGAATTCCGAAGAAAACGGGTCGAAATTGATAGTCCAAAGGGAGTCAATTTCGAGTTCGAGCGAGACAAAAAGTTTGTCTTGGCTCTGGCGTATGAAACAGAAGAGGTTCTGCGCGAGATCAACCAAAGTGGAAGTTCGCAATCTGGTCTACTTCACCGAAAGTCGGAGCGTGTAGCCGTGGTCGCCAAGTAGTGCCTAGTCTACGGGAGGTAGAGGGCAACTAGATAAGATCAACGGGGAATAAGGCCCGGATCGACGTTACAATAGCCAACTGGGATATAGCAAGTATATTTATCCAGCAAACGTCACGATAGCACACAATACAACGACAACGTGGATGGTCTCGGGTAGTCGGAGGAGGACGAGGGAGTCGACCGTCCACCGAGCCGGAGAGTCCAATTGAATGAATGAGATCCACCGAATCGCGCGAAGTCGAGCGGTCGGAACGGATTGTCACGTAGAGCGGTTGATCATGGGAAACTCGGGGAATCGGTCGAGAATAGCTTGGATTGACGGACCATCGGGGTGCCGCTGGTCCTACTATCCGACGATTATTTGATTTTTTTTGATTCGTAAAATTTTTCCTCAAAATGTTGCTAAAAGTCAGTTGCCGTCGATTCTAAGCGCACAAAAACAATTTGGGCCAATTATCGAATGTTCAGTGGGCTTAAGAACGACCTTCAAACCACTCTCGCCACAATTTTCTTGCCTCCATTTTTTCCGAAATTCTTGCGACCTCCCGAGAAATGAGAGCTACTGTGCATTCGGGCTTGTCTCTTATTGACAATGGGCGTACAAGATGAGGTCTGACTTATGATATCTAAAATTTTTATGTTTCCGGAGCATCGGCTATTTTCATTTTTTGTTCGCACGGTGCGGTGCAGAAGATTGAAAATTTTGGTATTACTGAGCAGATAACGTATATTTTGAAAAAATATTTTAAAAGCTTGTAAAAGAAGGCCGTAGTTTGAACTGTTATCCCGAATTTTCGACTTTTTCTTTGTACTGTGCAAGGAATTTAAATTTTAAAAGCTGCACTGTGCAGCTTAAAATTTTCTGTTTTTATTGAATCCAAATTTATTCTTTCGTATTTCGCCACTGTAAGAGTTAGATTATGACCTCTTTAATGTAATAAAAAAGCTCGCACTTCAGTTTTACTTCCCCAAGGCAAAAAATAAAGTTTTGTAATCCGCACTGTGCATTCGAAAATTTTTTCTTTTGCGCAATGTGCAATTAGTGGGTGATAAAATTTCTGATGGTAGAACTCAGCTACTTATACAATCAGTTCGAATTCTACATTTTCAAACGATTTTTTAACCTCTAGTTCGAAAAAATGAACTTTATGGAATTGCACTGTGCGATGAACGAATTAATTTATCGCACAGTGCAATCGCTGGAAAGGGTATATTTCTTGATTGTGAATGATAGAAGAGTATGTATATTTCCTTATTTTACTTTACGAAAGCCGCTTCTAATTGGTATTGCGAAAAATGAGATTTTTTGAACTGGCACAGTGCATTTTGCAAAATCGGGTGCTTCTTGACATTTTACGCACTTTCCGCCTTTTGGATGGTGAATTTATCTTCCAATCGCTATAATCAAACCTTTTCTAGCCTATCATACCCATCTTACATCGCCCTTCCCTTCTTTGTAATCATTTTCCATTCGATTGCGCAACCGTCCATTGACCTCGCGCGGCCTTTGAAGCCACTTTTTACCTCCCTTTTCACGCACTTCTCGCCATTCATCGTATTGTATGTACAAAGTTTTGGAGTGAGCCTTGTGCTTGTCGCGGCTTTTTGGGCAAAATTTCCTTCTCCTTCTTCAAGGACACGGATTACGGTAGCCCTTTAAAACGAAGGGCGAGGAAAATCATGAGGCTTGTTTACTGTATTGCCACTGGTAGCTACTTAGCTGGCGAGATCAATTTTAGGTTGTGTTGAAATGGTTTGTGATATGGAGAGGAAATTGGAGAGCTATTTCCTTTTTTGGGCGGCCAAATTGCCTGAGGTTATAGCGGGTGTTTGAGCCTTGGCCAACTGAAAAAGCAGAGGCTATTAGTGCAGAAGTGATCTGAGAAGAGAAACAGATAGTATCTAAAATATTTTACATTCTTTAAATGGCATATTTTGGAATTCGAATTCGAAATACGATCTTAAAATGACAGAGATTACATTTTTGCTATTTTTTGAAGTAATAGTTGCTCGTTTAGGACAATTTAAGCATCCACATGCAGTAAAATACGCCTCCAGACATTAAACGTGACATTTTTACCCTAGCTTTTTCAAGAAAATAGGAAATTTTGCCAATTTATATTGTTCTAGAGATCAGCATCCCGAAAATTCAAAAAATCTCAAAACATGTCTTTAATTTTTCATGTTTTCTGCCTAGCTGCTGCAAATGAATGCTTTATACTTCAACAAGCTCTTTTGTCAACATCATTTACTATCTAAATCTTCCCAAATTTCGTCGTTCTTGGCTTAAGTCGGCCGGAAATCCGCAAAATTCCCGGTCTCATCCTGTAAACTCTTCTGCTGACCTGAAAACATCGCTAATTTTCTTCTCAATTACTTTACAATTACTCATCTCGCACGAAAACCGACAAAACCATTCATCCGCGCGTACCGAGCCTACCGTACATTCGAGAGCTTATTGTTGCAAAAACGGCGGCGGATCGTCGGCGAGAGAGGAAACCTCGTGTATTACGTCCTTTAATTCGTTGAATGAGTGTCGGGAGGAGTGATGGTACGAGGTTATGGAGGGGTTATGAAGTGAAGGGGGTGGGGAGGGACCGATCCCGGCGTAAGGAGAATAACAAGAAGAAGTCGGCGGACAAGCCATAGCCATCGCCCTCTCTCGCTCTTCGCGTCTTCAATGGCTCCATTTCCGAGGCGCGACCTCCGCCTTTTCAAGCCATCGCCTTTCTTTTTTTTGGGTCCCTCCGATCCAGGGCCGAGGGTTACGGTAGTTGATCGGGGCTTTTGAGGAAGTAAAGTGAGGGCTGGCAAAGGGTAGCCGGCTTATGGAAAAGCTTACTGAGACTGTGCTAAACTGCCAACCACCATCTTTTTAGAATTTTGCCGCTGCACAATGCAAAATTAGAATTTTTAAAATTGCACTGGGCGATTTTTGTAAGTGTTAAATCGTTACTCTTTGCTATAACAAGATGCTCTTGCTGGTTTGTACAACATTGATAGGACACCAATTTTTAATCTTAAGCCATTTTTTGAACCAGATGTTTTTCTGCACGGTGTAAAATTAAATTTTTCAATTTTTGCACTGTGCAAGGTCAAAATTTTCAATTTTTTTCAATTTATGTCGAAACAAAAAGGTAATTGTCATGAAATTTCCGTATTTTACCTTGCTTTTCGTCTTGCGCAGTGCAATTTTAAAATTTCGGTTCTTCGCAAGTGCCATTTTCAAAAATCTAAAATCCTGTTTTTCAAACGTAACCGCATTGATTTTGGCGATTAATCAGTTCTATCACGCCTAGTTTGTTTACATGTAGCTGTTTTTCTCCGGTTATTTATGCAAAATATTCAACACGATCAGACTGTTTTTCCAGCTTAAGGCAAACATATAAATCTGTCTGATTATCATACTTTTTGATAACATCAGGATTGGCGTTTGATAAGGGTGGAGAGGAAATAGGGTTCGGCTTTTTGCGATATTTAGAATAAAATTTATTTTAGTTGATCCGGAAGTTTTGGGGAAAATTATCATTTTTTGATTTTTTTATCAAAAAAAGTGGCAAAGAATGATAAATTTCAAATCCAATGTTAGTGTTTTCAGGTTTTTCAAAACTTCGTTGGCAGTAGTTTTTATTTGGCCTAGAGTTCCACAGTTTTCCCAACTTGAAAAATTTTTTGACGAAATGTCACAAAAATTATTGATTTTTGAAAATCGTGTTTTTACGGTCCTCCAACGTTTGTAGAAAAAAATGCAATATATTCAACGATATTGACCTCCTTGTCAAGCAGAAGAAACAATTTTTCCGACCATTCTGATCAGTTCTCTCTCTTCGCTCAGTTCCATCAAGACATTACGTGATTTGCGCGCGTTATAATAAGTAAGACTTAAGCAACACCCCAACCCAAGGTCGTTCTCGAACCCAGAACCCATCCGACGGTTGTTTTATGACGCAGCGGCTTCTTCCCCTGCGGCGTTTTCGTCAAATTTATTCAAATTTTCGGCGACTTTCAAAGCGGAGATTTTGATGAGAAATGGAATTTTGAGATTTTTTAGTTAAAAATACGGAATATTTGGCCGGGAAGACACTGAGTGCAATAGTAGGAGCCGTATTTTACAAGTCTAAACGATTTTTTGGCAATACGTTATTTAACTTTGCAAGCTGCATTTTTAAAATTTTTTGGTTTTTTCGCAAATTCGCAAAAAAATCGATGAAAAATTTAATCTCAAATCTGTAGATAGTCGTCTAAGGATTCTTGAGATTTGGTTTATCCA